AAGTTTCAGACAGTCATCCAAGATTAGGGCATCAGCAACTTCACTAAAATTGTCAAAAAATCTCATAGTTCCAGAAGTTCATGCATTTTCAGTTCAGTCAGTTCTTACAAAATCAGGAGCTATAATAGGTTCATTTCCCAAATTCTATAAGTTCAAGCATTTTTTTCACATGTATATGGGTTCTGCACAAATAGTCTAAATTTCAACTTAGGTCCTGTAAAAATACTTGTCCGGTAAAGAGTCCAGTAAAGAAGTAGTTTCTTGGCAATTTTAATATTAATTTATTCAACTTATTATTTCCCCTTTGTTTTCGCCCAATCTTATTTTAATCTTTTCATTTCTGGGTTTTGTTCAAGTTCATGGCAATTGGTGGGGCTATACCTTGTTGTCTCTGATACATTCGGAGTGCAAAAGATGAAGCGGAGGCGAGTCCTGAGAAGAAGAGTAGTTGTTGTCCTTTGACGATTCCATTTTGAAGCAAATCCCACTACTAGTAATGGTATGTAGCACTGCCAGTGGTGGACATCTCTCACTGCCTTGCGTCAAATATTCTATTCGGATTTCCTTCATTTCTTCTTCCATCACCATTATTTTCCTCCCATCTTCTTCTTCCCTTAGCTGTTGTTGTTGTAGTTGTTGTTGTGGATAAATCTCCACCTCCCCCAACACCTCCTCCCCTCGATACACAACCGATTTGTACATACTCGTCATCCGATTCAGATCCTCAATTTCTCGTTCAATTTCTCATCAAAATCTCGTTCATCAACAACAACAACAAAACAAAACACAAAGTTTTTACAAGTTGTTTCGATCGATTCGAATTCTCTTTAAGATTTGACCAGATTTTTTGCGGATTGCAAGTTCAATAACAATAAACTGAAACCAAATTGAAGGATCAAAGGCAAAAATTAGGGTTTCTCCTTTTTTTGGTCAGATTTGTTTACGTAGATCTGTGAATTTTTTGGGTGTTTGATCTGAAAAAAGAAATTGAAAAACCCTAATAATGGATGGCTTCCTTCTTTTCTCGCTTGCTTTCTTCTTCGCCTCGATTGATTTGTTGATTTTCGATTTTGCTTTTCTAATTTTCCCGTCTAGGAGAAAATATTTAAAAAAAGAAAAAAATATCAATGGTTTTTAGGGTTTGTGTTTTGGTGTTGAAGAAGCGAGAAAACCCTAGATTCAGAAAGCGATGTCTCAAAAATAACACTCCATTGCGTATGTTGTCAATAACATTAAACAATTATAAATTTAATGTGAATGCGGTAGTGCGAGTGCGAGGGCGAGGGGCTGATTTATAATTTCCCCATTTTTGCGAAGTCTTACGATGACGCGCTTGCTGCCGTTTTGGGGAAACTTGGAAACGCCCAAAGGAGGGACGTATCTGACTGTAGGGATAAACTTCGTGGAGTTTAATGATATTTCTGAAACTCTGGGTTGGGTGTAACATATTCTATACGTGGCGGGTTCCTATGGGTTAGCCGCTTCTATGGCTGTAGTTATAGATTCGTCCTCGCGCTGTGAACTCGTATTAGATTTTCTAACTCTTTTAATTTGATGAAATTATCTAACTTTTGATGTCAAAAATATAAATTAAAATATTAATTGATTTAATTAGTGAATAATATTTTCTAAATGAAAAATTGATTGTTGTTTCTCATTCTTCAATCTCTTCAATTGGATTAGGAAAATGTCATACTATCTTAACTTAGTAAATACAATATTACTTGTAGATTGCAATTTAATTATTTATTATTGTATTTATTTAATTATAAATTTATTTGTGATCTTGAATTAAGTATTAGATTTATGATCAGATTAGATTTACTTTACTTTGATTAAGTTTTAAAATTAAAACATTTAACAATATCACAATCATATCATAACTTAATAATATCTTAATTTAACAACATCTTAACTTATAATCTATCTAGTTACTATTATTAACATATTAAGCCTCTTTAACCTAGTTTATTTTTAACTTAAAAGCTATTATTAAATTTTTATTAAAAATAATAACTCTTAAAATTAAGTTAAAATGTTTAATAAATTGTTTAACAAAATAAATTATATAAATTATAATTTCGGTTAAAATTATCATAAAATATATTTATACCATCTTCAATCACTTAATAAGTTAAAATGTAAAGCTCCAAATTTGTATATAATTTCAAATGTTAAAATTAAAGAAATCAATAAAGAAATGAAACAATTCTCAAACTTTTATAATAGTAATAGTATTAGTTTTTTCTTGATCTGCAATCGGATTATGATGCTTCAATTCTAAAAAAAAAAAAAAACGATGTATTTAATATTAAAATTATGTTTGGTGAAAGAGAAAAAAAATTTAAATACTATCTAAATGCAGTGAATTTTAGATTTTTTTTAATATTTGTAAAAACAAAAAGATTTTAGGTTTTGATATTTTGTTGTTTGCTATTCTGTTTTTTTTCGAATGCAGTTTTGAATTTTAGATTTTTTTTAATATTTGTAAGAATAAAAAAACTCTAGATTTTGATATTATGTTATTAGATCTTTTGTTTTTTAATAGTTTTTGTAAAGAGAAATAAATGAGAAAGAAATCGCAATTTACGTTGAATAATAGTAATTTATAGAAAAAAAGAAAGAAAAGGGAAATTAATTGGAAGAGGAGTATTTTTTGAAAAATTAATATATTTTAAGTTTTTTTTTAATTTTGTTATTTAAAAAAAGTTATTTTTTTTAGAATTTATCAAAAAATCATATATAATCTGATTTTGTTTTTAAAAAATAGATAAATTAAATTAAAAGATAAGCCAAACAGGTACTAACTTGATAATCAAATTAGGCTTACTTTACTTTCAAATATTCTGTTAACTAACACTTAATTGCTAAAGGAGGAAGGCATACTAATCCGCCGAATTTCTGTACAAAAAATAAATAAAATAATAGAACCTTGTCAATTTTATAAAAATTAAATATAAAATAATATTTTTTCCTTGGATCGATACTTTTTCATAATGTAAAAGACTTTTTTTATGCTTTTTGATATTTTATTATTGACTTTTTTATATGAAATATTTTTAAAATAATTCAAATAAGATTTATTAAAATATATAAAACTTAATTTCTTTACGAAATAAAATAAAAGTCGAAACAATTACGAGCAAATAAGAATAAGAAATTACAAATATTAAGGACAAGTTATTGTAAGATGTTAGTTGGCAATCCTCCTCTCAATGATTTGGCTTAAATCTTAGTTTACCAGCTTAGAAACACCACCTACTCCTCCAATTAATCATGCTCATAATTCTGATAAAGGGAAAACCTATGATTAATTTTGGTCCCGTCCGTTATTATTTTTATCAGATCTAATGCATTGCTGGTTCCTAATCTTTAAATGCAGATATTAAACCTTCTCCCCTCCATCTCCTCTACCATTCAATTTGCCACAGTGCCCCTAGTTCAGCTTTTCAACCTCTAACTTAGATTTCGGTTTGGACAAATCAGGTTACCAAATACAAGAGGAACAAGGGCTTTTCTCAGAGGCGGAGGGAGAGTCATGGTCCACAAAAGCATTTAATAATAATAATAATAATATTACATATATTAATATATATTATGTTTTCAAGTTTTTTTACATAGTATCTTATGATTTTTTTAAAAAAAAATTATATTTTTGTGGATAAATTTTGTTTTCATAACAAGTTACATAGATAATTTGATTAGGTAAAATGATAAAAAAATAGTGATTAAATAAGTTACTTTTTGAATTGAAAATGTTTTGATAATTCTATTAAATGAAATTAATGACGTAATCTTTTATAAGAATAAAATTAAGTCATAACATGTTAATTAAAAAAAATAAATGACAGATAATCATGTGAGATATTTTGAAATTAGAATGTAGGTGAAATTTACTTTTATATATATATATGTTTCAAAATGAAATGTGAAAAATTTTAATTTATTGAATTTTAAAAAAGCTTGATAATATCGAAATTATGTAAAGTTCTTTTGCAAAAAAAAAAATTGTAAAGTTTAAAACTAAAAATTAACTGTTAAAAAGAAGAAGATATAGGTGAAAATATTGATGTGTAAAGGGTGAAAGATCCTGAATCCACTCGTAAAAATCAGGATCAAATTGTTAAAGTAAAGTTGTTACTAATAGGAGTATATTTTACACTATTTTTTGATACGGATGGATCGTCATATTTTATTATTTAATTTTTTTTTTAAAAAAATTTAATAAGTTGATGACGAATGTTTTTGCATTTGTGAAACCTCAATCGAGATGTCATTAAAATATTCAAATAGTAGATTATGATATATCTTTCATAAATAAATTAAAACATCTAAAATTCATCACTTTGTTATTTTTCATATTTCTTCCATATTAATTCAGTATAACTTGTTTTATAGTGTAAAACAAAAAGAAAAAAATTAAAGAAAAAGGATAATGGGAAAGTCCTTTTTTTTTGTTGACAAAGAGAAAATTCAGGTTTGTTTATAATAAGGTTTAGTATATCCAATTTAGAATCGAATTGTAATATATTATATGATATTATATATCTCATGAGATAATAAAAATAATAAAATAATAGAACAAGTTAATAGATAAATTGAAAAATATAGTAAATGAAGTTATATTTGTAAAATTTAAATATAAAAATGTAACAAATAAAGAAAAAATTCCCATTTTTTAAATTTAAGTATTTTCTTGTTAGTCACTTAAATTCAAATGTAATGTGAAAATTTATACATTATAATACATATATTTGTCGAAGCTATCAACTTATGTTTGATCTGATTTATTTTATTAATACAATAATATAATATTTTTTGTTTTTACTGATTTTTATAAATAAAAATATTAAAATAAAAAATTTTAGCATAATTGTGTGGCATTTTATTTATTTTATTAAAAGGATATTTATATTATTTTTAACCATTAAAAATGAGAGAGTCATTAGGGTAGACATGCACTTTTTCATAGAATAAAAACTGGACCCAAATCAAATCAAAATGCCAGCCCGAAAGCCCCCAAATACCCAGAAGCTCTCTCCTCTTTGACATAAAAGGCTAAAACCTTGTTCATCTCTCAGCTCACCATCCCAGAAGAGAAAGAGAGAGAGAGAGAGAGAGAGAGAGAAAGAGAAAGAGAGACCTTCTTCATTTTCATTTCAAAAATCTTGAATTCGCAATATATTTTCTTTCTTTGCCCAAAATACCCTTTTCTTTCTTTTCAATGCCAAATCCGAGATAGCCCACCAGAGAGGAACCTAGCCCCCCAAACCATGATCGTTCGGACTTACGGTCGCCGCAACCGTGGGTTAACCAGGACATTCTCCGACTCTCTAGACGACGACGTCTCCGACTCCCCTCCCCTCTCCCAAGAAACGGCGCCGTCTCAGGACATCTACAGTTTCCCTTTTACCTCTCAAGAGTCCTCTTCTTTTTGGCCATCCTCTCAAGAATTCAACGACGACGTTTACAAGAACCAAGTAACGACCTTTAGAACAGCTCAGAGTAATTTCGATTTTGATGATTCGCGAAACGGCGTCGTCAGGAGATCCAAGAAACAGAAGCCAAATCAGATCAAAAAAGAGGTAGGGTATTCTTCTATGCCCTGGATTTCGTCGACTTCGACTCTAATGGAGGCTCAAGAATTCGGGGAAATGATGGAGCACGTTGACGAGGTTAATTTCGCGCTTGATGGGTTAAAGAAAGGCCAGCCAGTGAGGATCAGAAGAGCGAGTCTCTTGTCTCTGCTTTCAATTTGCGGCACAGCCCAACAGAGGAGACTTTTGAGAACTCATGGGTATGTTGAATTCTTTAGGAGTTTTCAGCTTTGAGATGTGCTTTGTTGAAATTTATTGATTTGGGTCTCTGATAGTGTTAATTTTGCGTGGATTTTTGAAATCTGAATAGTCATGAAATTATGTTACCGATTCAAAGGGATTAGGGCTGTTTTAAAGTGTGGTTTTAGGCTTTAAGGGATATATGAATTAGAATTTTTAGGAAGAGTTTGAAAATTTAAATTCCCTTCCGTTGATCTCTAGACTCTAAGTAAAGCTTTCTTCTCGATTTAGTTAAAGAAATGAGAAATGCATCAAAGGTTTAGGTCTTCCTTGAAGGCCAATTTATTAGGAAATATATATTTTTTAAATTAGGAAATTGTTTTGATAGTTGTAGTTTTGTATTATTAAGACCAGAAATTTTGAGTTAGGAACTTTGGAGCTGAAAATTATTTTTTAGCTGTTAATTTTTGAATCTAATAGTATTAAGAGTGTCTATGTTAATTCTGTTCTAAAACATATATTTTCCTATGTTATTGACAGCAGCTGAAAAGTTCTAAAATTTGAAGTACTATAATACCTACAAAGGTCTGAGGGCCATTAAACATGACATAGCCTTTTTATAAATAATATCTTAAGGGGATGAAAAGTGATGGGGGAGAAGATATGTAAGGCTTATATTTTGACTGATCTTTTAAGAAGCAATTTAATTAATTTTTTTTATGTCTTCATTGACTATCTTCCAATTTCAGTAATATTTTTGATCTTTCTTAAACTTTTATTTATTGCTTGAACTACATAACTGAATTGAAACTCATTAAGTTTAGGTATGCCCAGCTGGTTCATTTAGTTAATGACTTGTTTGTATATCTTCTGGAAGTCAGAAATATTGTGATGCACATGGCTGTTCTTACGCTAGCTTTTCAAATATGTTCATTTCAGGATGGCAAAGACAATAATTGATGCTATTTTGGGCCTCAACTTTGATGACACCCCAAGCAATCTGGCTGCTGTGGCCCTTTTCTATGTCTTAACCAGTGATGTAAGTTTGACAACACTCAAAGTTGTACCTCAGTGACTATTTATGAATCTATGTGTAATTTTTGCTTAATAGTCAAGGATATTATGCAAACAGGATACTTGTGAGAGGATTTGGATCCAGGATTAAATTGAAAGTTAACAATGAAGAATCCCAAACTTATTAGCATTATTATTTATGCATGAGCAGACTTAGCAAAAGTGGGTCTTCAAGTGCGGTCTTACATGTAGTGCTATCGTTAAAGGTGGATGTCAATCTGTGCCGCCATGCACTTGATTTTCATCTTAATTATATTATCAGTTGAATTTTATTAATACTGAGTGAGAGAAAAATGTAAACATGCTTATTTATTTTAAAATAATTTTGAAGTTCAGATGTCAAGGAATCCATGCTTAGATGCCTGAAGTTAATTATTTATATAAGGTGAACATATTATTTCTAGATGCTCCAAGAAGATCAGATATCAATTATGCATCATAATTTCTGAGTTGTAGCTTTTATACTTTTGGTCTGTTTGCATCAATTTTTTAGACCAATATTTGCATAGGTTGAATGAAATGTGTTGGACATGACAATTATAATATTCATCAAGGTTTGTGTGAATTTATTATGTCAGGGTCAGGATGAGCATCTTCTGGAATCGCCTAGTTGCATTCGGTTTCTAATTAAATTTTTGAAGCCTGTCATCCCCACTGCTAAACAAAACAAAACAGGGAAAGTGGGCTCTAAGCTTTTGGCGTTACGCAAGGAAGCTGACATGTCACGGGATACAACTAAAATGTTGGATTCAAGCTCTGCTGCCATTATTTCCAAAGTTGAAGAAATTCTTGTTAGTTGCAAGGAAATGAAGTCAAGACATGGGGATGATACTGGTTTAAGAAGGCCAGAGTTAATACCAAAATGGATAGCTTTGTTGACGTTGGAGAAAGCTTGTTTGTCTAAAATTTCACTTGAAGGTATATTATGGAAATCTCTAAGATTTTTAAGGATTTATTTTATAGATTGATTGGAACTGTAATTGTAGCTTAATGTAGCACAACCACATATATATACTTTTTCTGCTTGTTGCTGATTGCTTTCATGTTTCTTTGCATTGGTTTCAATCATTCAGATACAACTGGTACGGTAAGGAAAACTGGGGGCAATTTCAAGGAGAAACTAAGAGAGCTTGGTGGACTTGATGCTGTCTTTGAAGTGGCCATGGAGTGCCATTCTGTTATGGAGGTCTGAGCTTGTATGTTATATCTCATTTCTGTTCTGTTGCATTTCAACCGAAGGATATTAAGAAATCTTGCTTTAAATTTTGAGAAAGTCATCTGGTTCCATTTCTTACTAGCAATATTTGATGCATATATATGTGAAAAAATATTCAGAGGTGACATGTAATGTGTTCGCTTGTCTGCAGGGTAGGGTAAAGCAGAGTTTACCTTCACCTCTTATAGAAGATAAAAAGGATGTTCAGAGCCTGGTGCTGCTTTCAAAATGTTTGAAAATCATGGAAAATGCAGCATTCCTCAGTAGTGACAATCAGGTATGTAAGTTGCAATTTTGAGTTATTTTGTTTTTGTTTTATTTTTCCACTTAGTTTGTGTAACTTAAAACTGCCACTTGACATTAAGCTGTTAGATTCTAAATGTTCATTTTTCTTTCATTGTAGAGTCATCTGCTAGAAATGAAAGGCCAATTGAACTCTGATGGATCTCAACTATCTTTTACGAGGCTTGTCATAAGTGTAATCAAGATTCTCTCAGGTTATTGGTGTTGCAATTACTACTTCCAATCTTTTCTTTTGATCCTCTTTTATCTGCTGAAATATTTTCACATTGTGATTTACTAATGTTATTGTTTCCAGGGCTTTATCTTAAGAGTTCTTCTGCATCATCCAGTACTGAAAGGGATTTTAGTAATTCTAAAGCAAGGGGTGATGCTGATGAATTGGCCCTAGCTGCAGATTGTAAAGGTAATAGGCAGTCCTGATATTATTATAAATATATATTTCCAGCAGCTGCTGTCTGACTTGATTGATTCTCTTTAATCTTGCAGTGGGTAGGCATGATGTTATCTCTGTCAATTCATCTCAAAAGTCCTCTAGCCTGGAGTGGTCCTTCTCTGAAAAGAGCTTCAATATATCTCAGAGTGATCCAGGGCCCTCCACTCAGTGTTTGGGTCGTTCTGTATCCAGTTTTCAGAGTACACCTACGTCCACCAATGATAGTTACTTACTGAAGATGAGAATCCATTCTTCCTTGTCCACCTCAAGTAGTGGGAAATTAGGAAGTTCATATGATGGAATACCTGTGACAAGCAATGGGTCAGGGACTCTTTGTGAGAGACCTGATGATGCAAGAGCTGGCAAATGGCAACTTTTAGAGGATAGTCAGGATCCTTATGCATTTGGTGAAGATGATTTTGTGCCTTCAAAGTGGGACTTACTATCTCGGAAACAAAAGATACCCCGAACTAAAAAACATGAGAAACTTGGGCTAAGAAATGGAGAAATCCAAGATGAGCATCAATTCCAATTTACAATGAGCCAACAAGAATCAAGCAATGGGGAAATTTGCCAGACGGAATTTATCAATGAAGAATATCATCATTCTAATGCAACTTCTGGTTCTCAAAGTGCTGAAGAAGAATATTCCAGCCTTCTATCAGACTGCCTTCTTGCTGCTGTCAAGGTATTCTTAAATATGTAGTTTACAATGGCTTGTTTTAGATTCAATGGGTTAATCATATGTATGATTGCAATGAGGTGAAAGAAAGTTACCATTTGTCCTTGTTCTGCTTTTCGAATCCTTGAATGGTATTGATTGGATTAAATAGGCCTGTGCGATTTTACAGACTATATAAAACTGGCTTTGCTTATAACATCTTGATATCTTGTGTGTTTTCTCTCTTACTATAGTGGTTTTTTTTAATCAAATGGTGGCGTGTTATCTTGGCAGGTTTTGATGAATTTAACAAATGACAACCCTCTTGGCTGTCAGCAAATTGCTGCCTCTGGGGCCCTAGAGACCTTGTCTACATTGATAGCGAGCCACTTCCCTTCATTCTGTTCATATTTGCCTCGCGTCAGTGAAATGGAAGAGAATTTCTTAGTTTAAACTTCATGACCGGAACGACAGACCTCTTACGGATCCAGAGTTGGATTCCTTGTAGCAATACTGGGTCTGCTTGTGAACCTAGTAGAAAAGGATGAACACAACAGGTTGATTTACCTTCTTTGTATTCTGTGCAGTGGCTTACAAAGCAAAGTAGAGAGGTCATTTAACCTTTTCATACTCATAGCTACAAGCACATAACAGTGAAGTGCCAATATTTCTTGCAGATCACGGCTTGCAGCAGCTTCTGTTTTTGTACCAAATTCAGAAGGGTTGGCAGAGAAAAGTCGCATGGCTGTAATCCACTGCTATGTGCCATCTTCCTCGCGAATCAAGGAGAAGATGATGCAGCTGGAGAAGTTCTGCCTTGGGTGAGGACTTCTTCTCAATATGTTATGGAACTGGGCATATTTCTCTGCTTCCACCCCACCCCCCTCCCCCTTTTTCCCCTTTTCCTCTCATTCCTCATGATTCAGAGCATTAAAGCATTATGTATGTTATGATAGTGAGCTCCAATAATTTATCATGATTGGCATGCCTTAATCTTTGTTGTATTGCATTGCACAGAATGACGAGGCTGCTGTGCTACAAGAAGAGAAAGAAGCGGAGAAGATGATTTTAGAAGCCTACGCAGCTCTACTACTTGCATTTCTTTCTACTGAAAGGTTGGTATGCTTTATATCTTTCCTATTGTTCAGTTTCCATGTTTACATACTAAAGTATTTTGCCCCCTTTTACCATTGACAGTAAGAGCACACGAAATGCAATTGCTGATTGTCTCCCAAATCACAGCCTGGCAATTCTGGTACCTGTGTTGGAGAGATTTGTGGTATGTCTGTAATCTGTGTACCATCAATGATGAAATTAGCAGCAAAATAGCAGTAGACTGACATCATCTGTCAGTTGATCATAGCTCATTCATTATGAGCAAGATAAATTGGAGTTTAGCCAAAAGTTTAGGCCAAGTATTTTGACTACAGGCTTTATTAGTTGGTCATGGTTTGATATGCCCTTCCATTGACTGGAAAGCAATTTACGGAATTTAGGCCTTGGAATTACTGAATTATTGGAACTTTGGTACGTTTTCATGCAATCTGATAATCTTTAACACGCCTTCTTTTCTCCTTCTGCAGGCATTTCATTTTACACTAAACATGATTTCTCCAGAGACTCATAAAGCTGTGGTTGAAGTGATTGAATCATGTCGGATACCGTGAGAACTGATGAAATAATCTGTATAGCCTTGTCTTGCCTTTTAGATTAGCTGTTTGTTATCACACAATGCCGGTGCCCACGAGGATGGGATTGGGCAGCACACTGTTCTGACGACAGACCTCTATTATAGTTCATTGACCCCGTTTGTTTGTTTTTACCCCACAATTTTCCCTTTATTTGTTTTTATTTTTTTGACAATAGTATTCTTTGTAGCACTATTCCATCATCTTGATGCAGTCCAAGACTCATGTATATGAAAGTTAAAGTATAATCAAGTAGTTTCCAATTGTCTTGTGCATGTCATATTGTATAATTGTATATATATGTAGTACTTTTTGTCATGTAACTATGTGTCAACTTAAGGAGATGATCTTTCTCTTCACGATTGCTGTAAATGGATATGGGTAACAGCCCCTCACCGAGCCTGCATTCCTGCATTTCTGGGCTAGTTCATAAGTAAATTTTTTTTGAAAGATTGGAGCTTCATTGCAAAGGAGGATGGAAAAATCCCTTCGAAAAAACATTAGTAAAGAACCAGTGATTTGTGGGCCATACCTGGGCATAAAAAGCAGGTATATTCACCAAATCTTACTCATAGCTACTGCTCAAACCAGACTTCCAGTCCTACTGTATTTTTGGCTCTGACTAGTGGCTGCTGCTGCTCTATCAAGGGAAACTCAATCTTGATAATCTTATGCAATGTCAAACCCTGATCTCTCGGCCTAAATATGCATAAATGTAATACAAGACAAGCATAAGTACACTTCCCTAAGAGTACAGTTGATAAATTGGTTTGTGAAAGTAGGCCCAAAGATCTTTTGGATGACGGTTCGACTTTAGTTACTTGATAAAACATGCCTGTCAAGGAAGTTGACAATAAGCTGATTCACGTTGTCTGGGAACTGCTCTTGCATGAAATGTGTTCCTTCTGGCAAGAACTCTATCTCTAATTCAGCTACATAGTCTCTCACTTTTTCGCTTGTTATGTATTCTTCAATCCCAGGGAATTTGAGGAAATAGTCATTTCTACCCACGATTAGAAGCACCGGAACCTCCACTTTTGGGTTTTCGATGGTGAACTCTTCAGGCAGTCTCCTACATGATACAGAGTTTCAGATCATAGAAGACAGTGACAAACATTGCGCTCAACATTGAGCAGGGGCAGCAAAGATTAATCGAGTGGAATGTTAGAGAAATCTTACTTGTAAGGGACTTGCATTGGGGAACTAAACCCAGATTTTTCATATGCTTTAGCATACGTTGTGAAATCTTCATTGGTTAACCATGGTGGAACTGGGTTAGATGGATCAACCAAATCCATAATCTCCTTGCCTTTCTCTGCTATAGGAATTTCACTTCTTGAGAAGAGGATATAGATGTTTCGCCAGACGGTTTTTACATCAAAACGGCTAAAGTCAGCCTCAGCTCTTCCTGGATCCTATAATGGTCAATGATATGGAAATCATGATCAAATGCCAAATTGAACAAATAAAGTCTCTAGTACTAGCTTGGTGAAATTTGGGAAATCAACTACCTTCCATCGGGAAATGTAGAAACCTTCAGGAAGGTCCCGGAACATTTGAGGCCTAGGAGCAAAGAAAGGCACGCCCAACGACACAACTCCAATAACCCTTGTTGGATGGAAAAGGGAGAGCAGATAAACAAGCCAGGACCCAAAGTCTTTCCCTATAATGAAAGCCTGTCAGCAGGATGGTTTCAGTCAAGATTTGATATAAAAACAGCTAATGGTAAGCAGGGATCGCAAAATAAACACTAATCACGTATAAGTGACTTCGGATGAAAATGGTCATCATCCAAAAGATATTCCACCTTGTCAATGTGGAAAGAATCAAGAATGGCTAGGGTGTCATCGACAAAATCGCTGAAGGCTGCTTTCTCTGGTTCTGGGTGGTTTTCAGATAGTCCATATCCCCTCAAATCAGGTGCAATTGCACGGTATCCAGCACCAGCGATTGCAATCATTTGATGTCTCCATGAATACCATATCTCTGGAAAACCATGTAGAAATACAACCACTGAAGAACCTGCAGAGAAGACTGAACGTTATATGAAGCATAACAAGATAACATTGTAGATTTCTCAAAGCGAAAAGGAATGTCAATTGAAACCTGTTCCAATCTCGGCAACGTGAAGGTTCACTCCTCTTACATCAATGTGCTTGTGCTGTATTTGATCCATTGTGCGATCGAGAGAGACAGAAAGAGAAAAAGGGTGCAAGAGAGTTGACCATCAATTTCTAACCAAGGCTATAGAAATTCTTTTAGGAAGGTCGAACGTGGCTAGTCGCTCAATGGCCCAATGGTTCGCGTAGGTCCTGAGTTCAGGTTAGGTTGGGTTTTGCACGAGGCCCGTTTCACTGTTTCCCTTGTGATCCAAGTGCGCATATCCATACTTACTGGTCAAGCAAGCCGAGAATTCAGATATCTAGCGTGAGAGGGGTATCATGGTCTCTGAAAGATGATTGCCGCCACGTGGCTCGAGACTAGAATCAGATGATAGTTGATAAAATACGAAAAAAAGTTGCTTTGAAACCAGGGGGAGTGCTTTCTGCCCAGACTACAGACCAGCTGAGCATTGGTCTTGAATTGCTTAGGAACAAAGTCTCAGGTTAAGTTAGAGAAACAAGGGGCAAGGGAAAAGAACAGTATCTAGGGTTCTCAATCACTGATTAAACCAGTATTCGAGTTATAATCTATCTCTCCTCTCACTTCAACTGCTATCAGCTTGTCAGTAGATCCACTTCCTGCTGGATAAGGATCAATTTCATCCCAAAGTTTGACATTTTGCATTAGACTCTGCAGGGAAAATCCGAGGCTATACTGCCCACTACCGGTAGGGCAGTGTTTTATTCCAGTATATGAAAACATACATTCGATGTCACCGGATTACATTACAATAACTGAGTTTCATATTCATTCAATATTTAAAGATTCCTACAAACGCCAGCCAATTCTTAGACACATTTCACAAACTAACACCGTCAAATGTGGCTCTTGAGGAAGTCAAGGATTAGCCCATTCACCAGCTCAGGTGACTGCTCCTGAACAAAATGGGTTCCTTCAGGCAAATATATGATATCCAAACCAGGTACAAGCTCTTTTGCCTTTCCGAACTTTATGTATTCCTCTATCCCAGGAAATTTAAAGACATAATCCTTGCAACCCATAATCAGTAATGCCGGAACTTTAACTATTGGATCTGTTATGCCAAAATCTTCTTCAAAAGACCTACAAAAGCATAAATCAACCTGAAATATGAGCATAAATTGAACTAAAACTCAAATAATTAGCAAGCAGGGAAAAACCTTTGCAGTACTTGCAATCATAGCCTAGTTAAAACTTAAAAGACTAGCAGTCTACAGGATTCTATCCAGATGCCGTGGTCAGCCAGCTGCTATGGCCTACGTTGGAGGCGATTACAGTAGCACATGCAATTGACTAAGGAAAGGATCAAGGAGTGCTTAGAACATATATTGAAAAGGTCCCATATATCACCGACTTTTATTAGAATCAACACCCATACCTATATGGAACTTGTAATGCAGTCCTAAATCCAGATTTCTCATATAAAGCTCCATATGCTGCAAGATCTTCCTCAGTGAACCAAGGTGGAAGAGGAGTAGAAGCATCCACCAAATCCATGATCTCCTGGTTTTCTGCTGCTATTGGTATTTCACTTCTGGAGAAGAGTATGTAGATGTTCCTTACAACAGTTTTAGCATCAAATCGTCCAAAGTCAGCCTCTGCACGTCCAGGTTCCTACAAAAACCCGATGGAATACAGTTCAATCAAGTAATGTGGTTTTCACTTTTCCAATTACTTCTAACACTTCAACAAAAAATCTAGAATATACCCTCCATCTTGATATGTAGAAACCTTCAGGTAGGGGCTGATGAAACTTCGGGGGCTCGGGGGGAAGATATGGCACTCCCAGTGTTATAACAGCAAAGACTCTATCGGGGTGGTGAAGAGCAAAGTGGTAAGCAGGCCGGACTCCAAAATCCTTTCCAACAAGAAAAACCTACACTCATAGCCAGGGAGCAAACAACAAAGATGAAGAATCAATTCCAAGTCGCTAAACTCAAACATGAAGGTAGCATTGCGAGAACACATAGAAAAAGCTAAGTCTGCTTCAATTTATCAGACAATCCCACCAAAAAAGAAGGCCTAATTCCTTCAATCTGATTAATGGGAATATAGCAAATCCCAATTCCTTCAATCTTACACAGTTTCTTTGATACATGAAAGCTCACCAAACCATAGATAAAAGTCAGAAAAGTTGACCTTATTGACTCCGAGGTGGTCTAAGATAGCAACAAGGTCGGCAACGATGTCAGCAAAGGTGGTCTTTTCGGGTTCGGGTGGTATGTCGGATAGTCCGTAGCCTCTGTAATCGGGTGCAATAGCCCGGAACCCAGAATCTGCCACAGCAACCATCTGGTGTCGCCACGTGTACCATATTTCCGGGAATCCGTGTAAGAACACCACGACGTTAGAACCTGAAGTTGGAACCCCAAATTATTTGATAAAAACCCAAAACAAAAGAGGAAAAATCAGTGAAGGTTTATGGTAAAGAAGTGGAGACGAGCACAGTAGAACCTTTTCTCTTCTTTTACCTGTCCCGATTTCAGCAACGTGAAACTTCAGACCTCGTACGGTGACGAAGTTGTGCTGGATTTGCTCCATCGTTTTAAGGTTCTTACTATCGTTTGAAGATAATAAAAAGCACAATGTCTGTTCTTTTGTTTAGTTCACTGACGAAAGCTCAGCTGAGTGGCAATATCTACAAACCGAAATCCTTTTTATTTCGTCATGTTTAAAATTAAAAAATTAAATAAAAAGTAGAACCGCAAAATTTTAACAGATTCAGGACCGCTTCCGGCCCAATAAGAGGACAGATTTAGCTGGGCCCAAGAAAACAGCAACTTAGGCCCATATAACAAAATGGGCCAGTCCTTTATTGCCAAGAAGATTAAATTCTTAAAATTTTAAAAAGATTTTAAAATATTTATTTTTGTTCTGGGAATTTTATAGAGTAAACTCTATTTAAATCGCTTGTGGTTTCATTTTTCTCACATAATATCCATCTTGTGATTCTTTTTTAAAATAACACTCTCTAAATATTTTTTTAATTAATATTTCATGGATAACTTTTTTTTCTATAAAAATTTAGACTGTTAATTTTATTTAATAAAATTATTAAAATATTTTAAATTTAAAATTGACATATTTATTCATATTTGAAGGAATTTTTGTAATTTATTAAATAAAATTGATAATTTTGGGAGAAAAATAATTCACAAAGTAGAAAGTATTAACCGAGAGAAAAAATCCATGAAATACAAATTAAATGTGAAAAAAAAAGTTGACATGTTAATGAAATTTATTTAATTTTATATTCTTAAAATTATATGAAATTAAAATTTCCGAACCATGATTCCCCTCCCCTTTTTTTTTTTAATACCTCCTATATAGGCTGGTAATACATGGGCCGATGAGCTTGAAATCCCGATCCAAGTTATTCGCCGTCCAACTCAGCGCCTGGTGCTCGCCCTTTCTTCCCCGACTAACCCTTGGTTTCTTTCGAAACTCCTCTGATTCAGGCTCAGATCAAAAAATCCGCGACGAAAACCATAGCTCTTCGAGTTAGCCTCGACTCTCTCCTGCTCTTTTACTCTAATTTTCCTTTGGTGCTGGTTTGTCCTTAATCTTTACGGTCAAGACGGTGTCGCCTCCGTCGCTTCGTCGGCTCCGGTATTTTCCCCTTTTCTGCGTTTTCTTTGTTTGTTTTTTAAATTTATGGTATCCCGAGCCTTTTCCGAGTTTGAAAATAAATGAAAATTTTGCTGTTGCATGCAGAGAGTTAACAAATTATGACTTTTCTATTTATCTGGATTAGATCTGCGTTTTGATCATCACAGGCATTTTTAGGGGGTCATTGCTTCATTGTTGTACTTCTACAATGTTTGTCGATCAATTCTGAGATTCACAATTAGTAATGGTAGAAGAAGAGCTGAAGAAGAAGAATAGAGGAGGAAGTTAAGGTTATTAAAGTAGAACCCTTTAGTTTTTATATTGTGAATTGAAATTGTTTTACATTATTATTATTTCATACACCAAAGGGTAGTGTTTAAATTATCTTCAAACGGGTTTACATGCTTCCTATGTGTCCATTTAATGAGCATTTCTTCATAGTTTCTCTTTGTATAAATATTTTCTTTGTGGTAATGACTGTTCAAACTGTTCACTGTAACTTTCAAATGGTTTTCAGGAGTGAAACAAACTATCACAGGGTAGAAGGGTGTGCGGGTAGTCATGGCAGACTTGGAAAATTTGCTTCTGGAGGCAGCTGGAAGAACTGGTACAGGAGGGAGAAACCGGCACTCGCTTCCACCATCTAGAAGGCGACGTGAGGGTTCTTATTCTGATGGTGGAAGTGACTCTAGGGATGACGATTCAGATGATGATCATGGCTATGCAAGCAGAAAGCCGTCTGGATCACAAGTTCCATTGAAGAAGAGGCTGGACCCTGCTGAAAGGGATGATGATCAGGGCAGCCAGGAAGAAGGTGATTATGATGATGGTGTTTCTGGTCGTGAGGGTGACAGCAGCGATGAATCTGATGTTGGTGATGATCTTTACAAGAATGAGGATGACAGGCGAAAGCTTGCACAGATGACTGAACTTGAAAGAGAACTGATTCTGTCAGAACGTGCAGATAAGAGAGGTGATAAAAAATTTACTGAAAAGATTAGATCGAAGCGGGAAAATGATAGGCCTAGCCGGTCTCGGAAAGAGACTCCACCTCTTCCGTCTTCTCGTGGAGTGCGGTCATCAGCTAGATCTGCTGATAGGGCAGCTGCTAAGGATGATGCCCTGAATGAGTTGAGAGCAAGCGACTGAAGCAGCAAGATCCAGAGGCACATCGTAAGTTGAGAGATGCATCTAGAGGAAGTTCAGGCAGCCGGGGCTTATCACCAGTCAAGCGGAAATCTTTCACTGCATCAAGTCTAAGTAGCTCTAGTCAGAGTGACAGTGAAAGTAGGTCTAATAGTGAAGATGAAGGATCAACCGGGGATGGTGGAATGGTTGATAGTGATGATGATAGGGGCATGCAGGGGCCTGACGGGCCAACGTTTGATGATATAAAGGAAATTACTATTAGAAGGTCAAAACTTGCAAAATGGTTTATGGAGCCATTTTTTGAAGAGTTGATTGTGGGTTGTTATGTAAGAGTTGGAATTGGGAGGTCGAAGAGTGGCCCTATCTACAGGCTCTGCATGGTCAGAAATGTTGATGCTACAGAACCTGAGCGGACATACAAACTAGAGAACAAGACAACATATAAGTATTTGAATGTGTTTGGGGCAATGAAAGCTCTGCTGCCAGGTGGCAGATGGCTATGATTTCAGACTCTCCACCACAAGAGGAGGAGTTTAGACAGTTGATTAGGGAGGTGGAGCGAAGTGAGGCCGGATGCCAAGCAAACAAGATGTGCTTGAAAAGAAGGAAGCATTACAAAAGGCAAAACATTTGTCTATTCAGCAGCTACTGTAAAGCAGATGTTGCAGGAGAAAAAGTCCACCTCATCTAGACCATTAAATGTTGCAGCTGAGAAGGATCGACTGAGAAGGGACCTGGAAATTGCACAAAGTAAGCATGAGAGGCAGAGGTGGAGAGGATTAAGATGAGACTGCAGCAACTGGAGGCATCCCGGCAGGCACAGGAGAAAGATTCCAAGGCTGTTAGGTTGGCTGAGATGAATAGAAAGAACAGAGCTGAGAATTTTAAAAATGCATCAGAACTGAAACCCGTAAATACTGGTTTAAAAGCAGGAGAGGCTGGGTATGATCCATTTTCGAGGAGGTGGACTAGATCAAGGAATTACTATGTTGCAAAGCCTCCTGGAGGAGATGCAGCAGCAGTGGCTAATGGTGATAGAATTGGTGCAATTACCAGTGGAAATGTCAATGATGCAAGGGCTGCTGCAGAGGCTGGCAGGGCAGCTACAGTGGCTGCGTTGCAAGAAGCTGCTGGTGCCGGAAGTTGGTTGATACAAGTGCACCTGTTGATGAAGGGACAGAATCTAACATGCTACATGACTTTGAGATTCCAATCTCATTAAATGCGCTCCAGAGGTTTGGTGGTCCCCAGGGAGCTGTGGCAGGATTCATGGCTAGGAAACAGAGGATAGAAGCAACTGTTGGATGCCGAGTCCCTGAGAATGATGGGAGGAGACATGCTCTTACCTTGACAGTTAGTGACTACAAGAGAAGAAGAGGGCTTCTTTGAAATAAAATGTTACATCTAAGCAATGCCTGTGTAGGTAATGATATTTTTGTTTCAGCTGTTATTTGAAGGAAAGTTTGTACCATGTCATTTGATCAAACTGCCTTACGGCTTGTTGAATTAAGTATTTTTTTGGTGTGAGTATATGTAGGTTTCGGTTTATCAAATCATGGTTCTGAGTGCTGGTCTTTATTATAGCAAAACTGACCATCTAGCTTTGGTTTGTTTTATGAAAGATAACGCATACCGGAGAAGGGGAGGAAAAAATAGAAGTGATCACTACCCATGCAGCTAATGCAGTTGATTTGTAGAAGAGAAAAAGACTTCCATAATTTGACTCTCTTGTTTTAGCAGATGTTTGAGTTCCCTTACCTAGGTTTTGATAGTTTTCAAATACTAATGTCATAACAAGTATTTTAGAGGAAGTAGGTAGTTTGTTTCAAGTGAGATTTTGAGGAGCTTATAAGTACAGGAATTGCACATTTTATTAGGTTAGAAGGTATTCCTTAATAAATGTAGAGGAAATCAAAAAAACATGGGCTAGCCTTCTCAGGGCTAGGTAGGCTTTGGTTAATCTTTTCTAGGGGAAAATGGCTCTTGGGCTTGAAATTCTTGAACAAGCTTTTGCAATTAAAGAGTATATTCTAAGAAATCAATTAAAGATTGATTTTTTTGCTTTGGGAATCTATTTTTAGTAAAACTTTCTTAAAATGGTAACTTAGTTTAGTTGCCAAATCAATAATTGTAAAAATATTTAGTGAAATTTGGATCAGCCCCAGCATTAGTTGCCATGAGATTGGGCCTATTTTTATTTTTATTTATTTGTAAGAATTATTTAAACCCTATGTTAGTCAATGGAATGAGAATATTTCTCTTACATATGATCAAGTTCAAAGATTATTAAATAAATTTTTTTTATTATATTAATAGACAAGTTATGAATCACGAATTAATTTTAATGTCAGAAAATTGATTGAGGCAGGTTGGTTCTGTGGATGGTGTTGGAATCTTTTCATTGTTTTTTGTTGTTCATTGACTAAATGCATTAAAATTAGTCCACTTGTTGAATAATTATAAAAAGATTCGGATTTTTTTTTCAATTTTATTGCTCACATAACTAAAAATAATAATAATTTCTTCATAGGATTTAAAAATGATTGTTTCTCAAAATCTTTACCTTATGGTAATTTTGAATAAGCATAATCTGTCCACCATAATCTTCCTTAATCATCATTAAAATTATCTTAAGTAGTCCTGCCAAAGGAAAGATACGACGTCGTGTCACCACCTGAAGGGAAAAGTAAAATAAAGTGACCTTATGAGGGAAAATAAAAACAAAACAGAGCTTCCCATTAACAGCATCGTACTTGGTTTCTTTTCGTTGTCGTAATAAAAGCAGCCCTGAAGAACTCCCTTTGTCTTACATTTTTGGATTCCCAATGTCCAAACCACAACTCTAAAATAAAATTTTTTTTTTGCCGCCTCCTCCTCTTCCATTGAAATCCCTCCCTCCTCCTGCTTCTTCTTCTATTCTGTTTTTGTCTATGGCAACTGTCTTGGTTCTTTCTTACATATAACTTTTGTCCTTTTTATGTACAAATGAAACGACCGCTACTACTGCCGCTACTACTACCAAGAGCTTCAATGAATTCACTTTAGTTTCTTACAAGACCAAAAGTGCCAAAAGAAGGGGGAGGCCAATGTTTGAAATGACCAGACTTCACCGCCGTTTCCAACGTATCAAAAGTTCAGTCTTTGGCTTTGAGTTCTTGTTACCCACGTCCATTGTTGCTCTTTTCCTTCTCATTCTTCTAGCTTACAATGGTTTCTCGGTCTTCTATATTAACCTCCCTGTTCCCTCCAAATCTTCACCAGAGCCCGCCAATGTTTTGCCCGAGAATCTTCCCGGGGACAAGAAGGTGACAAAGTTGGCATCCTCGGTGATGTATGCGGTGAAAGAAGAGAACCCACCTATTATTTCAAAGATCCATTTGCCTCTTCTGCAAAAACCAAACTTTTCAGTGGTTCCTGTTGATAAGCCTTTGGTTTTTAGGCCAAAACAGGCTCGTTTAAGCCGTCAGATATTGAAGATTCTGCGTTCAGGGACAAAAGCAAAGGGGTTCTCCGTCAAAGTTAAGGATTTTTTTCACAATTCCAAGTGTAAGTCTCGGTTTTTCATGACTTGGATTTCTTCAGTAGAGTCGTTTGGTGATAGAGAATTGCTTGCTGTTGAGAGTGTGTTCAGGTCACACCCAGAAGCTTGTTTACTTATCGTGTCAAATTCGTTGGATTCTAAAAGGGGAAAGGTTGTTTTAAAGCCGTTTTTGGATAGGGGGTTTAAGTTGATTGCTTTTGATCCTGATTTTGATTATATATTCAAGAATACCTATGCAGAGTTGTGGTTTAATCGATTAAAGAAAGGAAATCTTGATCCTGGTGAGGTTTCTTTGGGTCAAAATATTTCTAATTTGCTTAGACTTGCTTTGTTATACAAGTATGGTGGTATTTATATAGATACAGATATTATAGTTTTAAAGAGTTTCAATAACTTAAGAAATGTGATTGGTGCTCAATCCATCAATCTTGAAACGAAGAATTGGACCAGATTGAACAATGCTGTGCTGATATTTGATAAGCACCACCCCTTGCTGTACAAGTTCATTCAAGAATTTGCTCTCACTTTTGATGGAAACAAGTGGGGTCACAATGGTCCTTACTTGGTTTCAAGGGTTGTTGCAAGAGTTACCGGTAGGCCTGGATTTAACTTCACCGTGTTGCCTCCATCTGCATTTTATCCGGTCGATTGGAGAAGAATTCGAAGTTTTTTCCAAGGGCCTAGAACTAAGGTTCAGTCAAATTGGTTGCGTAATAAGCTTGAGCAAATCCGCAGGCAAAGCTTTGCGGTTCACCTTTGGAACAGACAGAGTAGGAATGCTAGAGTTCAAGAAGGAAGCATTATTCATCACATTGTATCAGATTGCTGCATCTTCTGCAATTCTTCGCGGTCAAGTTTGTAAGTAATAGAATAAGGAACAGATTGTCTCAGTATTGCTCTCTTTTGGAATGTTTATGATGTTAGTCATACGCAGTTATATATAGAATAACTCCTGTTCATTCCACCATTATAGTGTTGAATAAGATTGAAAGAAAATGTGAATCAGTTTTCTTCTATGAATCCCTCATTGTGCATCATGCATGCCCCTTTGGTTTCTCCATTTAACCTTGCTTCTACCAATTCTTTCCATCTCTGAAAATGGAAAGGAAAGAATGCAGTCCAATCATTCTGTTTCTATGTATACTTTCTTCCATACTAGGTACCAGCAAACCCCAATAATTGAGATATGGTTGTTTGATTTGGTGAATACGTGGAGGAAGAAGCTAATAAAATTTAGGACTTTCCACGGATAAGCCATGAAAGTGATTTTTCGGCTTTCAATTAATGTAGGCACCAACTTTTCCGGCCTCGCTTACATCATGACAGTATATGTTTTATAATTTATCTCATGTCTTCACCATATTCCCTGGATATCTCAATTTGTAACCATCCATGGTCCTACTGCAGTTGGCTTCCTTCACCGTTATCTTCAGATTCCACACTTCCCAGGAAAAAACTTGTCAATGCTGTTGCCCTGCTGTGAAAAGATTCTCCACCTTGATTTTTCCATTAATTATCTCTCAAAATAATTCTTTTTTCCTTCACTTCTCGGCACTAAATAAGCATACTAATATTCATAAACTATAAATAATATTGGATGAAGTCAATGGTTACAGCAATACCTTGAATGTGAAGCAATGACACATTTATTTTGTTTTTAAGTTCATGCCAATCTGCAAACAATGGGGGTTTTTTTTTTTTTTTGGGATGAGATTTATTCAATTTGTTTTCAGGTCAATTGGATGGGTTTGGGGACGTTTGCACATGCAAATTAAGTGATTTTGTCTACACTGACAGAAAGGCCTTTCGAGTTAGTTTAAAGGGAAATTTGTTGATTGTCTCCAAAGCATGCGATCGTGTCTCTGTTTCTCAAGAGTTGACAAAAAGATGGCTTAATTGCATAACAATAACTACACCTTGTATATCACATGTAAGCAAAAACAAAAAAGGAAAATGGTAAGTAGATTATAGAAGTGTACTTATTTATTTAATTAAGTCTTTTACAAGTTCAATTAAATATAATAAAAAGTAATAAGCTTAATTGAATTATCAGAATATAGAATAAGATTTTTTTTAAAAAAAGGTTTAAGCCAATTTTTTATACCCTTCACCCTGATCAAGGCTTCTTCACGTTTTCCTCCTTTGTTTATTGCTTTGTTACCAGGACTCCCAACTTCTTCCGCAGACGAAACGGAATTCTATTATTTTATCACATCATTATATAATAATATCATCATTAATTACTACTCCATATAGTTATTATCATAAGCTAATGGTACCAATGATATGTTCATATTAACGCTAATAATTTTTTAATCATGATTATGCAATGGTGAAACAAAAGGATGCTTTGATTGCAACGGGCGACCTTTACATGAGAACTCAACTGAATAGAGCCAATTGCCAACGCCAGTGCCCTCTCCACCTATCATTTTCATTTCTTTAGTAACCCCTAATCATTTAAAAAAGAAAAGTCACTGTGGAGCCAAGGCCCATGCATGAACCAATTAAGATAACTTTAACAAGGAATATTCGACAATAATCATTCATCAATTAGGAAATTATTATCTTCACTATTACTTTATGAGGGCGGCTTTAGTACCCTGCAGTGCTTTTGTCCGTGTGAAAGTGTATGGTAGCTGCTAATGGCGTCAACATGTCATTGAAAGGAAACGTGGTATATGTTTCCTTCTGTAAAAAGCCTAGAACGTTATTCAGTTCCGTGCCCACATTTGTTTCTTGTCTTATTTGTTGTTTCATGGTTTGACAGTCCCCTAAATGAGTTTTCTCTGAATTTGGCGATTGGGTATGGAGTTTTTCGACCCTTGTTGGACCTGAATATTAACTTCTGACAATTGCATTCAAGAAAGTGAAACTCTCTTGCTGTCTGTCTGTCCTTGTCGTCCGCTGCCCCTCACTGCATGTGCCCTCTTTGCGCTTTCGTTTTCAGCACGTTCCTTCCTAGTTCCTCCTCGAGGTATGCCGTGTTTCTGATGTCTCTTTAGTCTTTACTCTTTACAATTTTGCATTGGGAAACGTGATGGAAGTTAATATATACCTGTGCAGGATATAGTAAACTTTATCTTCCGTGGATTGAACTGCATATAGTAATGCAAACATGGAACTTAAGCTTGGCATGTACTTGAATCCGAGTCCTTTAAAAATACATGCTAATTCTTCCAGATTATAGGTTGCTGAGAGATTGGCAAGAATTGCAATGGAAGACGCGATAAACAGTTTGAACGAAGTTGACATTGGCCAAAATGATCATGCACAGGAAAAGTTTTCCACTCCGAACTACTAGACTTCAAATAAGTTTGATCCCATGTGTCGAAAACCACCAAAGCTCTAACTCTATAGGGTAAAACGTTCATGATTTGATTAACCCCTTATGGCTTAGCTAGATGTATAACTATTATCAACAGCAGCAACAAAGTTTTAAACTAATTGTTCTTTTTGTGATGTGAACTCTGCAGTACGAGCGTACCTCTGCATGAACTAGTTTTGAATTTACAAGCAAAGCTGCAGGAAGGTTGTGGCTTAGCATGCTGGTAATTGCCTCCAACTCATCGTTTATGCACTAGACGCTCAGAGTCTCCCATTTCAACCTCACCTCTTCGCCATTCTCCCTCGTTCTGAAAGAGCATTTCAATTTGCTCCAGAGATTTCCCTTTTGTTTCTGGGACACATTTGTGGACGAAAGCAACAGATAGAACTGAAGCCATGAAAAAGACGAAGAAGGTTCCTCCAACTGTGATTGCACGAGACACAGAGAGGAAGGACATACAAACAAGGCCGCTGCTGACCCTACTAGCCACTGCACCAAGACTAGATGCTTGAGCTCGAAGCCTTAGAGGGAATATTTCAGATGACACGACCCAACAAACCGGGCCCATACCAACTGAGAAGAAAGCTACGTTTGCACAAACTAATAAAATTGCCAATACAATCCCAAACTGCCCATCCCCGAGGAAAGTTAGAGTGAAGCTCAAACAGAACAAGCAGAATGTCATCCCAATCGTGCTTACAAAAAGCAAAGGCTTTCTACCCAATTTGTCAATAAGAAATATTGCAATCAAGATGAACATGGTTTTGGTGAACCCAACAGCAACTGTTGCAGCGAGAAGTTCTGTATTCCCCTTTATCCCAGTATCTTTGAAAATTGTGGGACTGTAATAAACAGTTGCATCAATACCTGTGATCTGTTGGAAGCATTGAATTCCACAACCTGTGATCAGCATCCGCCTAACTGCAGGAGTAGGATTTAATATCTCATGCCATACTGCTTTCGCTTCATACTTCTCTGCATTAGAAATCCCTGCAGCTACTTGTATTTCTGCTAATCTGTCTTCCACTTCTCTTTCACTGTCATATGTCTTTGAAAGCACAGATCTTGCTTCTTCGACTCTGTTTTGCATTACCAGCCACCTTGGGGATTCAGGAATTATGAACAAGGCAAACCCAATAAAAACTGAGGGAAGGATTCCCACACCAAGCATAATCCTCCAGTTTACATGTACTGGAAACCCTGAAAACGCATAGTTTGAGATGTATCCAAGAAGAATTCCTAGATTCACGAAGATCTCAGGAAAGGAAGTAAGAGATCCTCTGGTAATGGAAGGTGATATCTCGGCAATGTACACAGGTGCAATCATGACTCCAAAACCTATCCCAATCCCAGCCAAGATTCTGCCTATCATCAATATTTGAAAAGAAGGTGCCAGAGACATTATAGCTGCACCTGATTGAAAGACAACAGCTGCAAGGGCTATTGTCCATTTTCTACCAATGGCATCTGATGTTCTCCCGCCAGCCAAACTACCCAAAAGTGAAACTATGCTTAAAATTCCCACAAGAACTTCTTCTTGTACCTCTGATATCTTCAAATCCTCCTGAATGAATATAATTGCTCCACTCATAACACCCACATCTGAGAAACAACAGTATATAATATTAACATAAGTGTCGTTCTTTACATCATGAAGCAGATTGTCATCATTTGCCATTCCTGTACATGGTTGGCACTGATTTTGAAAATCTACTGGTAATTCTTCCCCCCAAATATCCCACTAAGCAACTGTTTGAAGTAAAACTGAAGAACTGAGTCATGCAGAATGGTTACTGGAGTTTGGGTTGTGCGGAAAACATTTTCTTACGTTGGACATAATGCAGTTCTATCAAAATGGGAAGCCTACTGTTGAAAATTCTGTTCTCTGACAAAAATCCGAAATCATCTCTTCCTATTTATATGCAAATAAACCATCTGTCCTGAAACTTAATTAAGAATAATTTAAGCGCAACAAGACAGAAACATGGTCAAGAAAGAAAAACCATTAACCATTTATATACAAATATCCAAATCCTGCATTCAACAATACAAAGCACATTCCTGTGCATTGCATTGACCCCAAGCCAATAGAATCCTTTAAAACCGGACAAAATATATAACTGGGATTTCACCATTTAAGCAGATCAAACCCAAAAAAGAAAAGCAAACACATCAAATTAAGAATAAAGGGATCTTGTGGGATAAAAGAAAATGGCAAGGACAAACCGTAGCCGAGGAGCACAGAATTGAGAGAGGCTAAAATGGCACAAGCAAAAACATATTTCCTCGTATTGCTATTGATATTATTAACAATAACACCCTCTTCCGCCGTCTTCTTGTGTCGTACAATATTTGTCAGCACAATTTCATCCTCTGCTGCATCTGATCCCATTCTCTCGTACTTCATGTTGTTCCCATTTTCCTTCACTCCCATTGTATGACAATTTCCACCACAATTTTTTAAACATATATATAGTTTTATCTCTAGATTTTGTTATAAACCAGACTAAAAAGGAATCAAAATAAATATTTTTTATGGTTTTTTTATATTAATTCTTCTCCCCTTCTCTTCTGAGGAAAAAACGAGAAAGGAAGGGAGAGGCAGACAGAGAGAAACAAGTTTTGGTATACAGGAAATTCAGATCTGGTTTTTCTTTTTATTGCATGGAAATAAATTAAATGTGGCTTTCTTTGTTTTCTGCATTTTTCCTACGTAAGCAAACACTGAAACAGCCATCCCGACGCGACCAAGGACAGTTACGTGGGTGAATGGGAACCGTTTTCCACGCCCTGTTTCTTTATATCCAATCATGAGATGCCAAGTCGGTTTCCTGCACCTCCGTGTATTTTTTTGGTTTTTAACAGAACCGAAGTATGTAAGATTAGATTGACCGGACCTCACTGTTTGGACAGATGGAGCGTTCCAAATGCTCTCCCGCGTTGTTGAGTTTTGATTAGCTGCGGTGCGACTCGTGAAAATTGAATGTAAAGGAATACCAAAACTTTCTCAATTTTAAAACGGCACGATATTTAATTTTTATTTTTATTATGTTTAATTAAATTTTTGTATTTATATTTTAAATTAAATAAATTTTTATAATTAATAATTAATAATTATTAATTAAAAAGTTTTTCATTATTTTATATCAAGTAGTATTAATATGATATAATAATAAATCATAAAAAATATTAATGTGAAATAATAACATAGTCATGTGACCTTTTTCATCTTTCACATCAATTAAATCATTAAAAATAATTAATTAATTATTAATTATAAAAATTTATTTGATTTAAAATAATAGTATAAGGTTTTAATTAAATGTAATAAAAGAAAAATTTTTAAATTTTTTTTCAAATATTATGCTTTTTTAGAACAATATTCTTTTGTTTCTTAAATATGTGTTACTTGCTGACATACTTGCATACCAAATGTAGATATTAATATTAATCTCTTTTTTTATTTTAATTTTAAATAAAATTTGAATTTTTTTACTTATGTTGACATATCATAATTGTTTAATTATATATGAAAGAAAAATTATTAATGAAATACTTTCTATGAAAGTTATATTTGTTAATGTGAAAGTGCAACTTGACATGACATTAAATATAACTCAAAATTATATTAAAAAATCAATATAACTTTCATTTTGAAATTTTTGATTTCGTGTGAAAATTGACTCAATTCTTCCACCCACATAATGGAAGAGAACATCAAGGAAAACCCAATTTGGTAAATGTAAATGGTAGGTCAAAAATGGATAAAAAAAAAAGGTCATTTCGTTTATAAGGAGTATATATTGGGCCTAATGTTATGGCCCATGAAGACTAAATTGGGCCCATTGAGATAGCCCACTAAAAGCCCATTTCCTGTGTCCAATAGTAACAGACTCTGAAGCCCAGCTTCATTTAATTTCCTATTCGACAATAACATGACCGACTCAGAGCCCAACTTCTCTCACGTGCCATCAGATCCACAGGTGCTTATCCCTCACCAGATATAACCGCCCACGCACACTTTTGCCTCCCGTTCCCACTCTCTCAAAACCCTCCCGACTCCGTCCGTCCGATTGAACAACGAGAATGACCGCCGAGGTACTCTCGCACCAAAACGGTGCCGTCATATCCAACGGAGATCTGAATAAAAAAAACTCTAACGCGAACCCGTCCGTCGCCTCCAAGAAGTCTCGCGAGAGCGAACGACGTCGTCGCAGGCGCAAGCAGAAGAAGAACAAGAAGACCTCACAGCTGCAAAATGACGCCGCAAATGGTGCGGTTTCGGAAGGCGGCGACAGCGACGCCGGCGAAGATGAAACGAAGGAAAACTCCGATCCTCAACAGGTATCTCCCGTTTTCTCTTTTGAGAATTCTAGGGTTTTACTGATATAATTGTTTCATTTGGTATCTGTATTTCTTCGTATAGAATACAGTTTTAGCATGCGCTTTTGATAGTGATTCAAGGAATTTTGGTTCTCTGAGCAAAAATGGAGTTGAGAATATTTTCATTTTTTCCTTGTAATTTTTTATGTAATTATATATTTTAGTCTGACATTTTTTCTTATAGTTATTTGAGTTCAGTCTAAGTTTTCCTTTAAGCCTATCCGCACTTTAATTAACTTACATTTTGTTTCGATATTGATTTTAGCAATTTTCTTTTTCCTTGAAATTTTAGATCACGGAACAAGTTGTGGTTGAGTATGTTCCTGAAAAAGCTGAGTTAGATGATGGTATTGATGAGGAATTTAGGAAGGTTTTTGAAAAATTCATCTTCTGGGAAGCTGCTGGTTCTGAGGTAATTAAAGTCTGGTTGGATATTATCACTTTTATTAATTTTCAAGTTCTTTATCCGTTCTCTAAAAAACTTGGTATGCTATGTATACAGGAGACGGATAAGAAGGATGAGTCTGCTCAAGATGCGGATGCAAAGAAAAAGGATGATTCTGACTCAGATGAGGACGAACAGGATAATCAACAAAAAGAGAAAGGCGTATCAAATAAGAAGAAGAAGGTTTTTGTTTTTTCTCCCTTTTTTTTCTATTATTCTTGGTTATTATGGTATTTTGTTGGTTTTGATGAGACTGAACCTATATTGTTATAATTGACAGCTTCAAAGGCGGATGAAAATTGCTGAACTGAAACAGATTTGCTCAAGGCCTGATGTTGTGGAGGTATGCATAATTTTTCTCTTACTGTTTATTTGGAATTTCTTTATCTTTCTGCATGTGTAGCTGTTAATGTTCGGTTCTCTTTATGGTCATTTGAGAAACCTGTCAACTTTGTTCTTAAACCAGCTTTAAAAAATTTATAGCCAAATGTTGAATCAGAGCACATTGGCTGCAAAATTTCTTGATAGGCTATGAGTTTATGAATTTTTTTCTTTTGAGATGAAGAAATCTTACTTTCTTAATTTTTCTTTTCATGGTTAGTAAGTGCTTTTGTTCGCTCTATTTTTCTTATGTAATGGCTTTTATTTTTCCTGTGTTTATAATTCATTAGTGTATGATAGTTATGTTTATTTTCAGGTCTGGGATGCAACCGCTACAGATCCTAAGTTGCTGGTTTTTTTGAAGGCATACCGAAATACTGTTCCTGTGCCAAGGCATTGGTGCCAGAAAAGGAAATATTTGCAGGTTAGTGATTCTTGGTACCATAACGACTAATATGGGTCAAATATGTGTGCATGGTTGGTAGGCTTAATATTGATGAGTGATTTAGGGAAGAGGGTGAGGGAAGATCAAGTCGATAAGGTTTCTCTTATATGTATATACGTGCTTCTTGCAGGGGAGCGGCTGTGACAACCTTGGAGCCTGGACTTGTAGGTGTTTTGCAAAGAGGACTCTTGATTGATTTCTCTTTTAATATGATTGCTCTGTGGGTTGGGATATAGATATTTATGAGGTTTTCCGGTAGCATAGCATAACTTTTCATGCTAGATGTTGGGGGATATTTGTTCATTGTTAAGGTGCTAATTAATCTGTTTTGGATTTTCAGATGCCTTTCCATTGTGCTAAATGCTCGGGCTAGATCCGTCTAAGATTTATTTATTTATTTAAGTAACCTGAGTTGGATGCTGAAGTTTCCTACTGTTTTTTGGTTTTGTTCACTTCTGGTATCTCATTGTGTTTTTGGATCTTTTCTGTAGGGAAAGCGTGGTATTGAGAAGCAACCATTTCAGCTTCCCGATTTCATTGCTGCGACAGGAATTGAGAAAATTAGACAGGTAAATTTAATTTCATTACTATACCAAATTGTGTAGTATCCTATTTATGTCAAGAAAATCATCTGTGATAGATGCAATTTTGGAAAACTATATAATGATATTCTGGATTTAACTCAAGAATAAACTTATGTTCTCTTTTCTCATTCAGGCTTACATTGAAAAAGAGGACAGTAAGAAGTTGAAACAAAAGCAACGTGAGCGTATGCAGCCAAAGATGGGGAAAATGGATATTGACTATCAGGTTTCTTAGTTTCTTGCTTCAGGAATTGCCTTTTTTCTTTGGCCTCGTATCTGAAATGATAGTCTTGTTCCTTCTAGCTAATGATGTTCCGGTTTCTGCTTTTAGGTTCTCCATGATGCATTCTTTAAATATCAGACAAAGCCAAAGCTGACAACTCATGGGGACCTCTATCATGAAGGGAAGGAATTTGAGGTACTCTTCTGCTATTTTTACTTGGATATGAGGCTTCCTTTTATACTTCATCAATACATGTGTCAGTTGATTTTAAATTGATATACAATTATAAAGACATCTTAAGGCTGTAAGTTGAATTGTTAAGATTTTTGGGACATTAGGGCATTATAGGATAGCGATGTACTGCAAATTTTGCAGATGATAGGAGCATATGCTGGGTCCTAAGTAGGTCAGGGTGGTTTTGTTTACTGCAAAATGCAAGCAGTTACATAGTCTAGCTTAATTCAAACGAAACGAAGAAATTTTGTTTTATAAATGCTTGTGTGAGTTTCTGGGTTATAGAAACTGGACTTCTCAATGGACTTAGTAGGGCTTGAGAATTTTGTGGATTAAGTGCTGTGAGCTCAGACCTTTTATACTTGTAACATGTAGTCTTATGTTGCTATTTAAACCTTGTGTGAATTCATTGGCCTTCTAGTCACCATGGTGACTCGGCTGAAGCATTCAACCTAGACATGTATTATGTGCTGAAACTGGCTTGTGATATTGACACTTTTCTAGGTAATCTCGAATGAAAAAATGAATGTCTGATGATATATGTCTATTTTTTAGTAGTTTTTCCCATTGTTTCAAATTAACATTGTTCTTTGGACTACAGGTAAAGTTGCGGGAGATGAAACCAGGCTCTCTATCACATGAATTGAAAGAAGCACTTGGTATGCCGGAGGGTGCTCCACCACCATGGCTTATCAATATGCAGGTTAGTTTGGTTAAAATCCTGAGTTTATTTTTTGCATGTGATATCTCAGTATTTTTGGTATTGTTTTAACTGGTAATTTGGCCTTTCAGAGATATGGTCCTCCACCATCATACCCACATTTGAAAATACCAGGGCTAAATGCACCCATCCCTTCTGGAGCAATCTTTGGTTATCACCCTGGTGGCTGGGGCAAGCCTCCAGTAGATGAGGTAAGCCTTTAGAAGTTGTATGTATTCTTTGTGTTCTAGTAAGCTTGAAGGCTATCTTTACATGAGGTAATCTTTTTAATATATCCCTTGTCTAACATTCTTTCTTTTTTTCTAATTATTGTCAATAGTATGGACGACCTTTGTATGGAGATGTTTTTGGAGTTCAGCAGCAAGAACAACCCAACTATGAGGTACTTTCAAGATTTTTATGAAGAGTGTATTTTGGATGTTCTTTTAGTTCTCTTGACTGATATGTTAACTCTGGGGCTTTTAGCAAGTGTTTTGCTACTTGTACTTTTAGCAAGTGTTTTTCTACTTGTATTTTTATTGTTCTTCATATGATAAAAATTGACTACAGTAAAAAAGAATTGATAAGGGTGTAATGTCCTAACATTAAGGAGCCACACAACTAGCCTCCATTCTTTTCCCTCTCTAGGAGTAGAACAGCTTAATTTATATTATAATTTTGTGTTCTCCATGATAATGTGTAAACTTTTGTCAAATTCTTTGAAACCTTGGATTTTGCTGGATGATATTCTGCTAGAAACATTCAGCCGAACCTGGTTCTGGTGTGGATTATGTATTTGGCTAAAAGTGCCATTTGTATGAAAATGAAGATTAGTATTAATAACTTCAATTTTTTTTTAAAGTAAATTTTCTTTTTTTTTGTGCCTATAATCAAATGATGAAATCCAGGAGGAGCCTGTTGATAAGTCAAAGCACTGGGGTGATTTGGAGGAAGAGGAAGAGGAAGAAGAGGAAGAGGAAGAAGAGGAGATTGAGGAAGAGGAGTTAGAGGATGGCATTCAATCAGTCGATAGCCTTTCAAGGTATTTTTTTTCTTCCAGTACTTTATATCTGTTTAGGGTTGTAAACTGTTTTACTGCCCAAAATTGTCAGGCCAGGTGCTTTGTCAGTTTGATTTTGACTTGATAAATAGCCATATGATTGTTCTATGTTGTGTTTGGAGTAGTAAATTTTCTAATAACCATTTTTTCCCCTTTTGACTCCAGTACTCCTACTGGAGTTGAGACACCTGACGTCATTGACCTTCGTAAACAGCAGAGAAAGGAGCCTGAGAGGCCTCTTTACCAAGTGAGTATTATATTTAAAACTTTTCTTTGTCCACATTTCATAGCACCTATGTATATATGTTTATGATATTCCTTCTCATTGCTTCTTGTTTGTCTTGTTTCTTTGAAGGTACTTGAAGAAAAAGAAGAGAGGATTGCCCCTGGGACTTTACTTGGTACAACACACACGTAAGAATCTGTGATGTTTTTTATTCTTTTTGGTTCGTATAGCTTTAAATCTTTGAATAAGGTAATCAAACTTGTTTTTTACATGCAGTTATGTGGTTAACACTGGAACTCAAGACAAGTCAGCAGCCAAAAGGGTAAGAGAGATGACTTGTATTTGATCTTGCAATTGTTTCCTAGGTGGTTATATGACTATAGTTGTGTTAGGTTTAGAAGTTATCCTGAATTGTTATTTCTTTCATAATTTGTGTGAATTTAAATTTTCTTTCTCTTTTCGCAGGTTGATCTTCTTAAGGGTCAAAAATCTGACAGGGTGGAAGTTAGTCTACAGCCAGAGGAGTTGGAACTTATGGACAATGTGTTGCCTGCAAAGTAAGTTGAACTCTTGTAATTTTACCATCTAAGTACATGTAGTCCCTGAAGTTAAATTTACTTTGCTCACTTTTGTCTATTTACATAGGTATGAAGAAGCTAGGGAGGAGGAGAAGCTACGAAGTCAGCGTGAGGACTTCAGTGATATGGTGGCTGAGGTAAGCCTTAGCATTCTTTTTGATGAAAAATGTTGGGTGGGTTTCTTCACGGGAGAGGGTTGACTGTTTTCTAAATACTCTAAAAGCCAAAAGAAGAAAAAGAAAAAAAAAAAAAAGGCCTGCGTCAAATATGACATTGCTTTAAAATTAGCTTCCGGGATTTGTTGACAGACTTCCTACTCTGCTGACATGGTAAAATGAACATAAGTGTAATGTCATTTTCAATTCAATGTTATTGATGATATAAAAGATGGTAAAATTTTACTAATATTTTCTACTAACAATCCAATCAAAGGTTGAATGCACATACTATTTGCAACCCTCACAGTCATATTACATCTCATAATAGGTCCTTCAGTTTGACTCTTTGTTGGATGGTCAGGTGTGCTTGAATTTAGTTGAGGTTTTTTAAACATTTGGGTCACATGGTTGATTGTGCTGTTTTCGTTATTAAAGTCAGTAGAATATTTTCAACGGTACTTTCTACAGACCTCTCTGAAAGGGGAGACTTGTCTTTTGAAGTCTTGTTTTTGAACTTTGGATGGAATAGATCATATGCTTGCATGCTTTACAATTTTGAGGGTGCCGGAATTGGTTGGGGTTTCCATGTTTGTTAACAGTTGTAATGATGAGATTGTATTTGGTGCAGAATGAGAAGAAAAGGAAGCGAAAGATGCAGGAGAAAGAGGGGAAATCAAAGAAGAAGGATTTCAAATTCTAAGGAGGCCAAGAATTTTTTCTTCCTGGTGTTAGGAATAGAAGCTAGCGTTTTAACGTCTCGGAATTACCGGCCTGGATTATCTATGTTTATTTGGAAGCTGACTTACTCTCTCCCGTGGAGAATCAGAGTTCCTTTATGTTTGTGTTAGATGGTGTACCCAATCCGTTTTCCATCAAATGTATGCTGTATGATGCGCTCTATAATATAAAAAATGTGAATTATACCTATCACCACCTCTTCTACTCCACTGGTCTAATATTTATTATTATTATTATTATTGGCTTATTGCCTCCAATGCGTTGCAGTCTGGACCTGGAAAAGACGTACGAATTTGTAATTCAAGCAGTATTATCTTTTTGTGATAACCAAGTTATAGACGTATCTCCAATTCTCAAAATTTGACTGCAGACTATAAAGTGCATGATAAGTATTGGATTCATTTTTAGGATTAGGAGTTTTGCCCGTGGACATGGAGAAATCCGGAATGAAAACTGATTGGGTTCCACTTGCATCTAAAGAATGGGTGCCTAATATTTTAATCAATGTCAACCACGCCACGCCACGCCACGCCACAATCTTAAACAATCTTCACTCTATTTTTACTCTAATCCCGCCAAGTTAGTGTAATCATCAAATAGGTGATTCATTTCATGCAAATGTAAATAGTTTCCCATTTTCCCTTTTGGGAGGTACAAGGTTAAAGAAAATCATTACAAACAAATGGGATTTTGCCAATTTTGATATGCAGAGAGGGTTGGTGAGACACGCATGCTAAACTTTTTCATCCATGCCGACGCCAATGCCATCGAGTGGTGGTGAAGATTAGATAAAAAAAGAAAAGCCCATCCTCGTCAATGATTCCTCTGTCTGTGTTTATGGATTTTCATGCGGTCGAGAAGTCTTAGCATGAACCACGTCTTTTACCTTCCAAAATGATGACTCCGTAAAGAGGAGGGAGGCTGAGTTGGAATTTGATTTTGCTTCCTGTAGCCATGATAGGTCCTGCTCACTTTGCCTGCATGAATGAACCAAGGCCCCAAAAGTTGATAGTAATAAAGATTCTAAAGTGGATCCTCGTCATCACCTATGTCTAGCACCATCTTCGCCATTAAGAAACCAGATTGAGAAAGAGAGATAGGGGAGATTTTAATGGTAAATTCATGGAATTGAAACACGCCACGCACGCTTACCTCATGGAACCAACGTCAATTGCTTACCCTTACCCAACTCTTTAACATTTCAGGCGGCGGCCTTATTTAAGGACCATGGAAGTTTTAACATCATTAATTAATTAATTAATTAATTATAGTAACAAGTTTTCATTATTATAATCTACAATGTTTTTAAAGGATTCCACTAAGTACTCCAATTTGTCCAATAATTGTAGAGAATTTTTTGATTGATAACATGTATGAATAATTCTTTTTTTGGTTTCCTCCTCAGCTATCACTTGACCTCTTAGTCTTTCCATATGCTAATGCCCTACAAGAAAGGGCAAGAAATTTCCCCAAAAAGAATTATAGGAGGCATGATTACAAATTTCTTGACGTTACATGGAAGAATATTAAGGTCTGATCACAAACTAACTTCACCATGCAGATTGAGAAGGGGCTAGCAAGGGCCGGGGCGGACCAAGGCCGAAGTTTGGGGCCCTCAGAGCTGTGAGTGTTGCTGGCTGATAGGTGCTGTCAAAGCCTACGTTGACACTTTTGAGAGAGCTGGATTCTACTATCAGGAATCCAACTACTAGTATTATTTGGCACTTGAGCCTGACACTTTCTTTATCATTTAGCCAACCGTCAGATGCCGCAGCTTGACACCACCGGTCTCTTTTTTTATTTATACCTTACTTCTTCGTTACTCTCTCGTAGACCTAATCCATTTTGACCAACCATGGCCACCATCTCGAAACTGAGACTTGCTGATTGGTTGTTTTTTTGCACATGAACAGAGTTGATCTGACAGGTTTTGCCTAAAAACTTTACTTTACCTCATCTGCTGTCAAATTTTTCATGGAGTTCATGTTAAAAGCTTATTTTATCAGATGTCCATGAAAGGGGGCAGGCTTTTAATCATGACAAATGTCGCCTACTTGTTATGGAGTCAAAGTTTAAACCTTACATGCAAGCAATATCCTGCAATAATGATGGTAAGAGGTCATCTCAAATGTCTAATTCTTGAGTCATCATCTTTATAAACTGTTGTACGAATTAGTGTGGTGTAGACACTTGATTTTAATAAATATAAATTTTTTAAAAAATTATTTTATAATATAATATTATAAAAAATTAAATAAATAAAATATTATTTTATCCAAAACAATTAAAATAAGTAAAATGTTATTTTACGTAAAATAATTAAAATAAATGAAATATTATTTCATACAAAATAATTAAAATAAATAAAATATTACTTTAAATAAAATAATAAAAATAAGTGGAGCATTGAAACAACTAATGTGAGCATAATAACTACTTTATACAGAATAATCATTTTAATAAAATTTATAAGTTATTTTTATTTTAAGATATTTTAAAGAGTTTGATTTAGTGGTTTAGATGTAAAAATAATTAAAATATTTTTTTTAATTTTTTTTTTAAATACAAGTGTTTTTACTTTTTATCTTGTTCTCGTGTTGTTCATGTATACCTTTTTGCTTTTTACCTTGTTCTCATGTTGTTTATATACAGCTTCTTATACTATTATATAATGAATTTTATAATGACTCTATTGTTATATAATGAATTTTTAACTGTTACTTAACATTAATTCTCAATAATGATTATCTAATAGTAAATTTCTTTTAATAATTTTTTTTATAATTGGAAGAAAGGAGATTTGAATCTTATTTTTTAGTAAAAAGATAATACATCAACTAATGAGCCGAATACTCAAATATAATTTCTTTTTAATAAAGTTATTTATTATATGTTTTAAAACTTTTTCTTGCAACTATTACTTTTGACATTATATATAGAATCTTCACAATTCATCTGAGTCTATTTAATATATTTTCCTTTAGAGTTTTCCTATCTAATTATTTTTTTATTTTTTTCTATCGATACTCAGTATTTTAAGAACTGTTCCTATCTTTCTCTTTATCACCTTTGACATATCTTTTTACTTGTTTGCAAGGTTTTCTTGCCTTATTGCAAGAACCACCTTTACATGTTGTGAACCAAATTCAATAGCCGGTCGAGCTTTGACTTGCTAATTAATCTTATTAGATAGGTTGAATTATTGATTAACATTTTGTCAAATACCAATTAGACAGCTTGGGATTTTATTTTTGGCCCTTTCTGCCGCCCAAAGCTGAAAGTTTGGGGGCCGTTGGATCCCATCAGTGAACAAAATCTTGTTCTGAAGCTCTGTTTATGTGTGATCTCAAACTTGTCAGCTTGGCATGCTGTCTTCTGTCAGTTCTTGAATTGGTTGAGCTATTGAACTTGGGATCTCCAAGTCTCAATCGCAAGACAAAAAGTTAGGCAAAAACGTTCACAGGAAGTTGGGTTTCTCTGCAAATTTTGCTTGTTCAGAAACAAAGAAACAAAACTCCAACTTCCTGTTTAATTGTGAGTGTGAATGGTAATCTGCCACTTTACGCTTCCTGTTTTGGGCTTAAGTTCTTCCAGGGAGCAAAGAGTTATTATCTGCATGAAAACTGGCTCAAGCTTTTCTTAATGTGGAGAGTGGACAGGTTCTTTAGACTTAAATCGTTTTCCAGCAAGCCTTATCCTTGACAAATTTAGCTGCTGCCCTGAACGTAAATTCAACAATAAAAACAAAAACATCCATTCTGATTCAGGCCTTTCAGAGGAATCCCGAGAGAGAACAACCTGAAAAGAGGGGGAAGAGCAGTGAAAATGACAACAGAAACACCTGGAAAGAGGAACAAAAGATTTATGCAAACAGGGTACCGATGATCCATTCATTTCTTCCTTGTTCAAAAGCATCAACCAAATTGATCTCCCATGAACATCATGATTCTCCTGCATCGCTTTCCAACTGTTTCCTGATATTGGACAATACAATTTCTCGAATGGGGGGTCAAAATTGGCTCTCGAGGCTACGTATTAAACTTCTATATTCATGATGAAACCCCGCTGGAATGGGTCACTGTTCCATTATATTCTAAGTGAATTAAATTCTTAGCAAATTTGTGCACCAACCTTTGAACATACCCCATATTCACATTCCAACCAGGATTTCCATCAATTGCTCTAGTCGTCCAGCAGGGGTGAGACCCCATCACCAATGATGTTTCGACACGTGCGGTCGAGGTCCCTTAGGATTAATGATAATGATACTCTATTAGTTATATGCTATGCTGAATTTATTAATGTTTTAAGTACCAAGGTGGTATGATGAGCTATTATCCTCTTAGGTGGAAGAGTTAGACTCTTTGGGATTAAACTAGTAATTTATGTTTGATCATGAAGCTAAACTTGCTTAGTCGCTTTCTTAATTTGTGCCACAGACATTCTGTTTTGTCCTTTTGAAAAAGGGTTGAAGAAATTTTGCCAATACCATCAACTTTACCTAACCAACCGACCAAGTTTGATTTCCATTCACATTCCCCTCCTTAGCTTAACATGTAAGAATGATACTTAATTTGTTGTTTTTGTTTTTAAATTATGGCTTATGCTATGCTCGTGGCTTAATTATTTGCACGTGGCTTTCATGGTCCAATTTTGCGCGACGGCCAACTTGCACGACTCATTCTTTCATATTCTTTGAGTCGTTCATGGAGGCTAGCAACGAACTTTTACCATGTCAAATTTATTCGAATCCTTGATGAAATCCGAATATAATTATTATTATTATTATTTTGATTCTCGATTTTTTTTGAATATTTACAATCAATTCGAAAGATTTATGAATTGTCGTATATATACATATATTAGACATTTGCTATCAATAATAATGTAAGACATAATGTTAGGATTTTTTGTCCAATTTTACTGTAAAAAAATTCTAAAAGAGTTTATTATTCTTGTTGTTTTTAATAATTGTTCAGTGAATTGATTTTATCAGTATAAAATTCAATCAATCGTTAAATTTCATTATACTTTCGAAATTTATCGTTTCTAATCTTTTTACAAGTTAATGGTAGATGTTAATAAAATCTTTAAAAAAATAGATCTTAAATGAAATTGATGTATGTATTTTGATTTTTCAATCTTTGATAAATAAAGATAGATTTCCAATCTTAAATGGAATTAATATATTCTCTCAATTAACTATCAGAAAAAAAAATATACTAGTAATCTTTGAGATTGCTTGCCATCTCTTTCAGACTAAAAGATGTTGCTTATATTCATAGACAGAATCAAATCTTATAATATACTAAAATGGAGAGATGCTTTCTGGGAATAGCTACCAGCTTCTATTCGATCAGAGACTGTTTTGTTTGCATTAGAGTAGATAGGGTAGTGTACCCTCTATATTATTCTCCAGGGACTGCCCGAACACCTGTTACAATTTCAGAGCAAAACCCACCCTGTATAAAGTTTTGCTCTCTCTCTCTCTCTCTCTTCTCTCTCTGTGTGTGTCTTTATTTGATGATTTGCCCGCTTGGTGTGTTCATTATATGCCGAACCCGAAATGAAATGAGTGATTGATTTTAGAGAGAAAAGAAACAAAAGTCAATTTCATGGCCGGTGACTGCTAATTTGACACAAAATGGACCCCTTAGCTTATATAGCGGCATCAGATTTCTAACATCATTTTATGTGAAAAACAACAGAAAATTATAAGGGTTTGCCATAGATTTAATTCTGCTGCTTTTTAGTAGCAATAATTCAGCTTCCCTAGACCCAATTTCAAGCCGATCGTTCACACATATGGCCGAGCACACACGTGTGTAAGTACCAGTGACTCTCCCAACACTGATTTTTAATATCATGTGCATAGGCCCTTAGGATCATCACAAGCTCTAAGGCATTCACCTACCAGCTATCACGTGATGCCAACTCTTCCTTAACCCCAAAATTATAAGTCGTTTAGGACCTTATGATCGGTCTATTTGTCGATATTTAATTTAATAATAAATATATATATATATAATATTTATTTAAACAATCTGTTTAAATAGAGATAAAAAAAAATCACATAAATGATTGAAACTGAACATATATGATCCAGTGGATATATAAATGAATGTCAATACAAAATATTCCATAGTATAACGTTTAATATTCGTAGCTTAATTAGTTTGCTGTTACTTATTATAGTAATATAGCATGAGCTCGACGTTGTCTTTACAGCCCATACAATCACCCCACTATCGACGGCACAGGAAATTCCACGTGTCACCAACCCACATCCGCCTTCAGGGCTAAGGAATTCTCTCTCCTCTCCCCTTCTCTTTGATCTCCCTACATCTTCATTTTTTGCATTATAAAATTCTTTGGAGACCAAGTGCTTCTATATATCAGATTACCTGTTTAGCGAAGTTGAAGGAAACCCCTAATCCCCACACATATATCAGGCAAAGCTCTCTTGGACCATACCAAGTTCAAGTAATTCTGATTTTTGAACTTGTTCTTATTATATAATTTTTTTATTATTCGCTTATATACTGAGTGGGCTGGCATATAGAGATCACTTGGATTGAAGAGTAGAGAGGCTCAAAGCATGCTCACTTCTCATCACCTTCCAGGGAATTTCCTTGCATTCGACACGCTCCATTATCTAATCGCTTCAAAACATCACACTGTTTGGCTTACAAGGAAGAATCTCATCATCCTGTTCTTCTTCAGGTTGATCTCTCTTCTTGCACCTCGATCCAAGGGCTAGGATTTTTAATTATAGGTTTTATTTTTTAGTTTGACCTGATCATCGTAAAAGAGAACTTTGCTTCTCATCGCTCTTGCTTGCGGTAGCTTGTTAGAGGTTTCTGAAGTTAGATATAGAGATATGGGGTTGAGTTCTAAACAGGTTTCTAGTGATGGTCTTGGCTGGAGCCAATCTTTGTTGCAGGCTCAAACGCTGGAGCTACCAAAAGCTTCACCAGCGAAGAGGCAACAGCCACAAAACCAGCAGCAGCAATCAGAGCCATTGAAGTGTCCAAGGTGTGATTCTACAAATACAAAGTTCTGTTACTACAACAACTATAACAAGTCACAGCCTAGGCATTTCTGCAAGACTTGTAAAAGGCACTGGACTAAAGGTGGTACTCTCCGCAATGTTCCTGTTGGTGGAGGCCGCAAAAACAAGCGGCTTAAGACATCAAATAGCAGCACAGCCGCCACCGCCCCTGCGAGCACTAGCACAGCCAGCGCCATCAAAAGCTCCACTGCCGCTGGTGTTAACAATAGGCTCAATACTTTCATGGCAATTCAGCCGCAGCAACAAAGGCAGGATCTTCAACTTCCACTTGCTGATCAGAAGAACATATCGAATATTCAATTTCAGGCGCTGAGCCGTCCACCATCTTCACTGTTGCAGCAGAATTCTATCAATTGCAGCAATTTGGACGGCGAAAGTTTCAGCACAAGCAATGGCGTGTTCCTGGGTTCAACCCTGCCTTTGCCTCCAACTCAAGGCTTACAATTTCCATTTTCAAGTTCAAGCTCAAGTTCTTTTGACACAACCCGATCTTCGATATCAACCTCATTTCAATCTTCAACAATCTATAACTGCACTGGAGAAACAATGGAGGATCCAACCATCACCAGCGTCATCATGCCCACCACAAGCGGTACTTTTTCACAGCCATGGCAAGTCCCTATTACAAGTGGTGGCATGGACATGACAAACTACTGGAATTGGGATGATATTGATGCACTTGTTTCTACTGATCTCAACATGCCATGGGATGATTCTGAGATCAAACCATGAATGTCCTTTAACCTTATGTCCATTGTCTATAGCTCTTTTTCTTGATTTGGGTGTTCCTATTTAGTAGAGGACGGTTCAATTTTTTTTTTCTCTTTAAATTTATCAGTCTCTATGAGAATCCCACTCCTTTTGTTATTTTTTCCCCTTTCCTAGATTGGTTATTAATATGTATAGTCTGCCCTTTTAAACTTGTAACTGTTAAAATGAGATGAGACTGTTTGAGGCTGTCATTTTTCAGATTCAGCTTCAGGGTGAAGGTGTACATTTTGTACTCTACCTCTTATATAATGCAATGTGTATGTTGGGTTGGGTTTGTTCCTCATTTTATAAATGGAATGAGGGTGGGAGATGTGATGGTATATATCACATATGAAGAGTTCAGAAATGGGGTCTCTTCCAGCTATGCTGGGCTAACTGGATGTGATGGAAGATTCTTGTGGATACGTATGTGTTCCATCTGAATACTACTAGTATTTCCATGGAATTGTTTCTGCATAATTTATGACCACATGTTGAGAATCATTCTCTTTTCCCTGTCCTGACAGCATTCTAGTTGTAAAGTAGTTTCCATAAATTAGATTTTCCTTTCCCTGGCCGGTCTAAACTGTGTGCTACTAGATTTCATTAATGCTTATTACTAGTTTATTGGGCACCAAAATCTTTGTTCCAATATGGTCTGTTCTCATCCTCTCGGTTCAGATCCAGAGCATGTGCAAATCGGGGCCACACTTTCCAGGGCTGTTTCCTTATTTGTTTTTATTGTATATGTTCATCTTCCTTGCATTGAGTCTGTCCATGGGCTCAGCAAATATTATAGTCCCGTAGAATGAAGGTTGATTGCTTAAAAATTGTCACGTTTTTCTATTAAAAATGATTCATCGTTTTGCCCTTTCAGTTATTTGGGTTCGAAATTCATGATGGAAAGGCCTGAATATCTGTAGTCTAATATGGGGGAAGGGCTGTTGTTTCATGGAGTAACAAATGCATCAAATAACTGATCATATGGCCTTAGGTAGCTTCTATTGAAGTGATAAGAGTGAAACTGACTGATGTTGCAAAACGGACAGAGACTGATTTAACTTGTTCCCTCAAAAACGTGAAAACATTTCTAGGAAATTCCAGCACCTCTTACGGCTTTAAACACTCGGGCAAAATTTGGCACCGCTCTGCCTCTGTTAGGATGTTCCATTGCTTGTGGGGACATGTAGCAGTAGCAGCAGCCATGTAATGGCTTGCAGTTGGGGTGTCGGGGGTTTGTCTGACACCAGAATATATTTAAGTTCTTATGAATTAATGAATAAAGGTGATAAGTGAAAGAATTTTATTACATCTAAGTTTCTGAGATATGTCAGAGATAATTAGAAGAATTCATGTAACAGAGACAACAGTAGAAACCGGAAAATTAACTCTTTTGTTGCAAATGTTTTGCACGAACTACTGTCACGGTCTTTAATTTGGTCCCTGACGATGAATCCTAAAAAATCCACACTCGAGTAGAAGCATGAACAACACTCGAGAAACCGTTGGGCCGTGGCTATCATCAGAATGTTAAAAAGAGCTATCAGAGTACCGATGACTAAATCAACAACTTTCTTCTTGCAAAGACGAGAGAAATTTACTAGTTCATGAATGATATCCTAGCTTTCATGTATCATTTCTGGTAGTATGTCAATGTATGAACAAGATTTTGCATCCGGAAAAGGGCATAAGATAAAAGAATAACTGAAGAACAATGGAAAATAAAATAAAAATACAAGACAAGATATCATAAGTAGTGTACTCATTGTCTTCTAAACTTTATCGACCTTAAGACTTGTGAGACATGCACTTTGGTCTTTTGTGTTTCACTATCCTTCAACTTGATCACGAGACAAACAGATATAGTTTAACATAAGCAGAACTGCAAAGAACTTTTGTCTTTCCAGGATTTTAATAAGATGAAAACTAAAAGCACTACATATTAAAAAAAGAAAAAGAAAAAAAAGAACAACTCAAAACCTCAATAAACAGGCAAAGTGCTAAGGTTGTAACCTGTAAAGTGGGATAGACACAAGTCCATGTCCATGGTTAAGAATCTTATGATATACGTATTCTCAATCACACACTAACTCCCAAAGTTTGCCTACTTCAAGAGCATTATAGTTGATTAACAATGAATTACAAATTGGAATATTTCTCATGACCATCTGCTGACCTTACTTATCTATATGTTTCCCATCCTCACTCCAGTATCTCTGCCATAGTTAGCCTGTAATTCGTTAGCCTTGGAATAACTAACGTAGTAAAGCTCAGAGACTATGGCTGTCAGGAAAACAAATGCAGCCCCAGCCCCAAAGACACCCTTTCTCAATGTTGCACATGTTGGGGGATTGTTTAAGAGATTCTTGTACTTGGTGTGATAAGCATTCCGTACTGACCCTGCAAGCAAGCATACCTCAGCAATGACAAAGAACACCCTGAAATGCCAATGCAACATGTTATTTAGATGGTAGTAGAGATTATAACAGATAGCATAAAAAGCGGAAGTTGACATTCATGGTGCTCAAAGACGCTTCTTGACTACAACAATAAGATCATTTACATTATTGTTTAAATTGAAAACATACCAGCAAGTGATAAATAGGACAATTGCCCATGCTCTAGACCCACTTGGTCTCATGGCCTTCCCACAGCATAAGCATCGGCTTGCCACCATTATTAGTATCTGGCTAAGTAGAAGGAATAGTAATGAGCCCACACCCAAGCCAGTTGCAATGTCCTTATCATAAACACAATAGCTTTCATTTCCATCATTAGCAACGGTGGCCTGCAAACAGAGAACAATGGAATGCCCTGTTAGACTATAACAAACCAGTTTCTCACATATACAGTGGGAAATGGTTAAGGTCACATTGATTCTAGAATCCATTCCTTCAAACAAAAAACTTTGCAATACTAACACCTTTCACTCTTTTTAAACTCCTAGTTCTCTAAACACCAGGCAAGCAAAACTGGGAGCAAATCATACAAATTTAATCATCACAGATTTAGCAAGAAAAGAGACACTAATTTACCCAAATATAAGCAACATGTATACAATAAAATCTTAGAAAGACACGCCATTTGTAACTTTAGCAATCATTTCCGCTGCTGTTGAAAGAAGCATAGCCTATGATCTTACCGCCAACAGCTAGCCTACCCAAATCCCTGATATAAAGAAAACCAACAATGACAATTCTTTCAATTCAAAACTATTTCCATGAAAGTGACAGAACATAAGCGTATTAAACCTGGGATCAAAATGTACAAAGTCCTTTCTGCCCTCTAAAATGACAAATAGACAATGTTCTCAGCATTGTTTCCTCTAGTGTTTTCCTACATATTTCTTAGATATTCATTTATCATGAAACCAACAAGCTTGTCCATAACAACTGCATTAGAACAAAGTTTCCCTCCATCACTACTTCAGATAAAAGACTCCCTCAACATACAGCTAAATCTTGTTAACACACCTTTACAGTAAAATAGTTTGCACCCCAAATGCATTTCTAGCTTAAATTTTCAGTGTGCACTTGTTGAACAATGGAACTTTAACGCCGAAACCATTTTATGGACCTATCTGACCAACAAGTTAAAGCAGATTCATTCTAGATCTAGCAAAGAATTATAGCAAATATTTAATTTTTTACAAAGCAAGGTAACAAAAAGATAAAACCTTTCAACAACAACAAAAAAAAAGTCTAAAGTTTCAATATGAGATCAAAAACCAAAATCAGAAAATCTTACACAAAAAAAACTAACAAAACTTCTACATGTAAAAAGAACAAACAAAACAGGTTAGAAATAGGACAGTCCAGAAACAAGGAAACAAAACCCAAACAGCAAAGAGTACACTGACAGTTTAGTAAATAAAAAAGAGAAGAAAACTCACAGTACTTCTCCTTTGCTCAGCAGCAACAGCAAGTCCAAAAGCAATCAGATCAATCACAAAAACCAGAGCCAGTAATAACGTTGAAGCCATAGCTCAAACCAACAACAAAAACCCACAAAGCAGAAACAAAAATCTTGGGAGGTAATGACCCAGAGAAGCAGAAGGACAAGAAAAAAAAAAGAGAGAAATAGTTGCCAAAAGCTTTAGAGGAAAGCAGGTATAAACAGGTGATAATAATGAATTAAAACTGGGTGGAGATATTAATGCAGATGGGTCGCGTGGTTTTACTTCTCGAGACCGTAATTAATTAGTGCAGATAATAAATAAATTAATTAGTGCAAAGGGTATATGAAACAAGGATGCCTGCCTAGGATTCTCTCCCTACAACAAGAAGGTAGAAGCAGCTAGGAAACGTTTTCGGGTGCGTGCTGCTTTGGTTTTTGGTTTATGATTTAGTATTGATGATTTGATTTTGACCCTGTATTTATCCACTCAAATTATACAGATAATAGAACAAGGGAAAGGGAAAGGGAAATCTTCATATACTAGTATTTAATTTGGGATAGAAACTTATGAAAATTTTATATTATTTTCCCTCTTAGCTTATCATTGTGATGAATTTGATAAAAGCATTTGTGGATTCTTATATTATCCAATTTTCTCTTTCTCTTTTATGAGTAGCAATATGCATTGATTTTGTTTTATTTCTAGCTTTTAAGTATAATATATGTTAAATTAGACGTATTTTGAATATATAATCTAATAAATTTTAAAATTTTTATACTTTTACATTTATTGTTCATTGATTTTAGATTGTATGTCAGCTTTAAAAATTTTAACAATTTATTATGATAATAATTGAAACAAATAAAATAATTTATAGGTTTGGGGTGTCATTTATGAGCAGCTAATGGATATGGTTTTGGTTTATTATTAGATTACTTTGTGGGCAAACTTGGACTAGTAGTTGTGGGGGAAGTGGGGTGGGACAGGGGGACCAAAAGCGACAAAAAGGGGAGCAATTCATGTGAATCACCGGTGTAACATTGGCCTAAGGCCAGCTTGCTTCTGTTATGAACAACTTTTCATGTGGAGATCGAAACGTGTCAAACTAGATTTAACTGTGTTTACCAACTCAAAGAAGAAGTGGATTCGGCTCTTAATTGTTTAAAGCCAAAAATGGAGGAGAACAATGATAAACATTATGACCACCCTTGACCTGGAGCGCTTCACCAAATCCAGGCCTTGTTCTGAAACCTCAAACCCTTCTTCCTCATAAATGGGATGCGTATACTGCCAAACTGCCATTCTGGGACTCGGAAAGAAAGCTATATCATTCGAGTAATTGCTGGCAAGAGACAAAAGACTTCCAAGTTTTTAGCAATTTGTATCCGCGTTGATGACTTGGCTTTGCAAGAAATTCCTTCCCAAGGTCTCAACAAAAGCACCATGTTTCTGCTAACTGGTTTCCATAGCTTAATCTGATAATATATGATCAAATTAAAAATCTTCAATGAAGATGTGTTTTCAGTATTTGACCCACAAAAGGAAAAAGAACATGCGTCAATATAGGATATTAATTAACAAAAACTGGAAAAAGACATTGACAACCAGTGACAAACGATTCTGGTAGAGCATTAAAGGGTGAAATGGAAAGGGCTTGACGTACCTCCATTTGGGAAAAGACAAAAGGCATGGCAGACAATGGATTATTGGGTGCTGATCTCATCCAAATTAATTCAAGAATACACAACTTCATTGGCAGTGGTTTATTACCCGGCTAGATTTTCAATTCTCATTAGTTCACCAAAGGACAAGTCAATCATTGCGTCTTAATCAAGTGATTATGTCTAATCCTCTGAATATCAAGATTAATAAAAGTCAGATGATATTTTGGTGATAAAACTGCCATGGCTAATCAACTTTTACATGCCTGCCAACCATAAACAAACATTAAGAAATACCCTCCTGCTTCTACAAATCTACAAGGGTCAACTACTTTCGATAGAAGCTGACATGAAATATAATTTAACGGTATCATTAGAAGGAATGAGCATAATGTGAAGAAAGATGTTACAAATTGCAAAACAATAAAGAATGCGGCAAGGAAGAAGCTGCAAGATATAGAACAAGGAAGCCAAGACAAAGAAGAGTCTTACTCATGGTTCCCAGATTGAGAATTACGGATAGTGAACTTGTGACATGTTGCAGTGAACAATTATCGATGCAGTGCCTTGTCTTGTTATGTTTTAATGGCTTTACGTCCTCTTTGCTGATGTTCTTGCTTGAGGGCCTTGAATTTAGCCACTAATTCATCATAGTCAGGGAGCTTCGGGTGCACATGTCTACAAGATGATGAATTAATGCCTTTTGAGTTCTTAAACTGCTTAGAAGAATGTGATTGAGAACTGTAGTCTGTGCTTGTTTTCTTTACTCTTTCTGGAGCAACAGTCATGCTCCATGGAGAACACTGATGTGGAACTCTATTGGTCTCAATACAAGGATTTGATCCACTAGAACTACAATCACAGAGAGAGGCACAGTTACCTGGAATTTCTAATACCTCTGCTTCTCCCAATTTCCTGCTCTTTTTAATCAAAATGTCATTTTGAAATTCCCCAACACTATGTCTAGTATGCCTTCTGCAGTTTACTTTCCTCGACACCTCTGTACATACTTCTTGTTTTAAGCTATGCGCCACGGGTAAGCCCAGCAATGGATCTTTGGAAGGGACCTTTCTCGACAGCCTATCCAGGGGACAAGTTCCATGATGTATGTGTTTTTGATATGATGACAAGTTGCCTGGCTTACCATAGTAGTCGTCACAACTAATGTCTGTTACACTTGAATCTGATGATAGACAAGAATGGCATAGTTGGCCTTCCTTTAAACTGAATATTCCTGTCAACATCATGCTGTTTGACCTTTTCCTCTTGCAAGAGTCTGCCACCCATGTCTTCCTATTCCATAATCCGGCTTTACCAGTGTGATTATTATTATAGCAACAGTGAGATGAAACCAATAAACTTGCTCCACTAAATCCAAAATTGTTTGTTGCTGACAGCAGAGTTGAATTAAATAAAAATATTGTTCTTTCCCCAGCATAATGGTCCTGTAGAGTGTTAATGTGAATCTCCTCTGCTTTCTCAAGATCGAAAGTTCTTTTGTTAAACTGGACTAGAAACTCAGACTGAGAATTTGTTCTCGTGGTTTCCACCGTGTTTCCAAAAGAGGTTGTGGAAGGGTGGTTTGAACCAAAACTTTCTAAACTACCCTGGCCTGATAATTTATTGCAGACCATTTCGGTTTCATATCTATGTTTATCTTGAGCAGAGTTCCCAACTTCAACAATCTGACCTGGTAATTTGGACTGTATCTCCTCATTGTTTCTTGGTAGCTGCATCTTTGCAAGCCAAGTAATGTCATCATCACCTTGAGCCATCCCCTCAAAAAGAAATCCTTCCCAATGAATATTATCATTTCTGCGTAGCTGCAGTAGGATGTGCAAAATGTTTCAATCAAGTTCTAGATTTAATGATAATTTCAGGACTAGATTTTATAAAGTGATTAAAGAAAGATATGGAATGGGAGTTATAGGAGAGACATACCAGCAGGACATTTGACCCAAGCCTCTTGTTGCTCCCAGTGTGCTCTGGCTGGAAGGCATGATTCTTAGCTAGTTCAACAATCAAACTTAGCTTCATTTTATCTGGAATAGACTTTAAACAGAGCTGTTCCTTAACCTGAAACGTAAATGAAATGATTGCTACAGAGTAACAGGCACAATAAGGAAACTGGAAGGCCAAAAGTGTATCTTAAGGTAAAAGAAAAGGCATTGAAGTTATAGTTCAAAACCAACAATTTGCGACCTGACTGTTCACATGGTTTCCAGGATGTAATTCAGTTATTGCTTTAATGAATTTGCTCCCATATCGCTCTTCAAATAGCTTCCTGACTGTTTGCAACTCCGGCAGATCCCCACACCATGCAGCTGCAAATATTAAAGTTGAAACAGCTTCACTGATGCCGTTGGGACAGTTCCTGGACGAGACATGTCAAAATAGATGTCCAGAAAATAAAATGCATAAAACTCTGTCAAGAGGTGGACCAAAACCAGATAATATTGCCAACATCTTGGAAAAAGGAAAAAGAAATGTATTTGCATTGGTTGGCGATAAAAAGATTATTAATAAACTTAAATTATTTGAATGAGAGAGAGAGAGGAGTCATACTTGTGATTCCGAATGTAGGGGAGGTGAAGGATGATGAATTCACAAAAATGATCCAGTAGATCATAAGCCGTCAATAAACTCTGGTTCTTAAGATGCTGCTCAGCCTGAAAAATGCAGTGGGAAATTAATTTTGCATAACAGCACTCACGGGACTTCAAATTTCATTGCAATAACTACACTGCACTAGAACAGGAAATGATCAAGTTAAATTAATGAATCCCTGTGAGCTTATTACCAAACAAATACTATACGAAAAAGAGAAAGAGAAGTTCAGGGTAGTTTTTTGATAAACCAATGGTACGTGGGAAAAGGCAGTTTCAGTTTGGCCACTCCTGAGCAGGTCGACAATGTCCTGACGCGATTGATTTATGATCGAGAGTCTCTTGATGTTGAGAAACTTAAGACGGCACTGCACACGCCTGACCAATTTCTTGCTGCAAGAATACGCAATCTCTTAAATTACAGTTTAGTTGAACAAAGATTGTATGGCTTTCAGATTTCACTAGAGAGGATTACCATTTGGAAGCTTTTCTCCATCTAAACAGAATGCCGAACATATTTCTGTCACAATATAGAGAAAACCAAAATTGGCAATGGTGCTGGTTAGGCCACAGCAACCCTGTTATGCCTGGAGTATTGAGTTGAAAATTGGTATATTTAGCGGAGACCCTTGAGGCAGTTCCCAGCTTGGTAACTGGTAAACAAACTTGCCATTCCAATTATGCTTGTGGCGGTTTCCATATAGTTATGCACCACATTCAAGCCGTTATTCAACAAGTTCGAACCAAAATATATTCAAAGGCAAAAAGAATAACTTGATGTACCCATTTTCTCAGTGTTCTCAGCAAACCAGATTGATACCCTGAAGCCCAAAGCCAGAAAACAAAAGGGTTTGAGCTAATGGGCTCGAAATGGGGGAACTGATAATTGCTGGGACCCTGGTCTGGGATTGTTTCTGGCAAACCCAAAGCCCAGTTTTGTAAGCTCGAGCTGCCGCAACTTAGGTGACTGCTGACTAAGGCCGCGGCAGGCCATTTAAAAGTCTTTTTCTTTTTCTTTTTTTTTTTGAAAGCATTTAAAAGTCTTTTTCAATAGTTCAAAATAAGTTAACCACGACTATCATTCACAGAAAACTTAGACTAGTTCGATTCTAACAATCAATTCGAATGAACTTCAATTAAGCAAATGGGAAAAGAAAATTTGCATTCCGTATAAAAACAAAGAAAAGAAAAAGCAAATTTCCATCTTACCTCTTACATTTCTAGCAAGCTTGAGATTTTTTTTTAACTATAATTAGTAATAAATCTGCCTAATGTTTGGAGTCCTTGATTAGAATTTCTGCCAGTAATTCTTGGCAGCCTTTTCGAGCTATTTCGTGTTGCATTATCCCATTTTGCACGTCATCTCAAAAGTTATTGATAAACAATATTGTTCTTTACATTTCAGTTAAGATTCAAATTATTTTTTTACGATTACTTATGAACGGTGGTGGGAGACCAATGGTAGATAATCCACGAGAGGAATAATGAAATCATTTTCTGTAAGAAACCCATTAAGTTTACATATCTTCAGTGTTGTGGTGAATGAAAATAATTACGGAAACTCGATTTCTGAGGATAAGAACAATGAGCAATATGAATCTGGGAAGTTTCGACCAATTAATGTTCCTGAAGTTCAAAGTTATACAACCAGAAAATAGACATTTACCCAATTGCTTTTCTTCTCGTGTAATTTGTCAACTACTTTGAAATATGCATCCATCAAGCCTATTTCCGATAGAAAAGTCTAATGCAAATTTATTATAAAATCAATGCAAGGGTTCTCGATCTTCATCACAATAGCGCCATTATCCGAAACTATGGCTTCTCTTTTCCCATCATCATCCACCACCTCTAACACCATTCCCACTTCCATCGCCTCTTCATTTCTTCCACGAACATCCCAACTCTCCTTAGCTAAACCAAAGCCTAATTTCATTGCCAAGGTAGTGTCATGCAAAGCCACAAATGGTGACCAAAATCCAACTCCCAGCTCCAAGAATACCGAAAAATCTTTTCTCCTCAATAAATTTGACAGAAGAGATGTTCTGATTGGCCTTGGAGGTCTTTATGGTGCAGCCAGCCTTAGCCAAGACCAATTTTCCCTGGCAGCTCCAATATCTGCCCCCGAGTTGGAAAAATGTGGCAATGCAGAGTTACCTGAAGGTGCAGATCCTACCAATTGTTGCCCACCAGTATCGAGAAAGATATTAGATTTTAAACCACCTTCTTCCAATTCTCCCTTGCGCGTTAGGCCTGCTGCACATCTAGTCGACGATGCCTACATAGCAAAATATTCCAGGGCCATTGAGCTTATGAAAGCTCTCCCAGCCGATGATCCACGTAATTTCATGCAACAAGCAAACGTTCATTGTGCCTACTGTGATGGGGCTTATGACCAAGTGGGATTTCCGGATCTTGAACTTCAAGTTCATAATTCGTGGCTCTTCTTTCCATTCCATAGATATTATCTTTATTTCTTTGAGAAAATTTTGGGCAAGTTGATTGATGACCCAACTTTTGCTTTGCCATTTTGGAATTGGGATTCTCCTGCTGGCATGAAAATGCCTGCGATGTATGGAAACACTAAATCTCCTCTCTACAATGAGCTCCGCAACCGAAGTCACTACCCACCAACACTGGTTGATCTTGATTACAACGGTACTGACGAAACCACAACGAAGAGAGATCAATTGACGAGCAATCTCAGAATCATGTATAGGCAGATGGTATCTAATGGCAAGACCGCTAGGCTCTTCCTAGGAGGTCCCTTCCGTGCAGGTGATGAACCCTATCAAGGATTCGGGTCGGTTGAGAACGTTCCTCATGGACCTGTTCACGTATGGTGTGGCGATAACACACAACCAAACGGAGAAGACATGGGAACTTTTTACTCTGCAGCAAGAGACCCCATATTCTATGCTCATCACTCAAATGTAGATAGAATGTGGGCCGTTTGGAAGACGTTAGGTAAGAAGCGAAAGGATTTCACTGACCCCGATTGGCTTAATGCCTCGTTTCTTTTCTACGACGAGAACGCAAATCTTGTTCGCGTCAAAGTTCGTGATTGCCTTGACAATCGAAGTTTGGGATACGTTTATCAAGATGTTGATATTCCATGGCTGAAAACCAAGCCAACTCCCCGAAAGCTAAGTAAGAAGGTGGCGTCGGGGGGTCCAGGGATTGCACTGGCGGTAGAAATAAACAAGAAAAAAGTCATATCTAGCAATCAGTTCCCAATAGTTTTAGACAAAATAGTAAGCGTTAACGTTCCAAGGCCAAAGAAATCGAGGAGTAAAAAGGAAAAAGAAGAGGAAGAGGAAATATTGGTAATAGATCAGATTGAGTTGGACGGCAATTCATTCGCCAAATTTGATGTATATGTCAACGACGAGGATGATTTGACAATTGGACCAGACAACACAGAGTTTGCGGGGAGCTTCGTGAATGTGCCACATAAGCATAAAGGTGGGAAGAAAATGACGACATGCTTGAGGTTGGGGCTAACAGATTTGTTGGAAGATTTGGGAGCTGAGGATGATGACAGTGTTGTGGTGACCTTGGTGCCAAAATATGGAAAGGGCAATGTTAAGATTGGTGGTATCAAGATTGAGTTTATCCAAGATTGAGTGATCTGATCACTTCATTTTGATATGATGCTTCATTGGTTTGGGAAATCGATCTTTGTTGTTTGTAATGAGACCTACTTCACTTGTTCTTTTCTTCATATGCTGTATTACTAAATGAAGACGGAAATGTTTGCTCTCATTTGCTTGTGAGTAAGCAAAAGAAAAGTTGTCTAGCTCTTCTTTGTCTTATGATTTATCCCTCGGTTCTTTTTGTCAAAGCAAAAGCAAATAAGTCAGCTTATATATATTAGAAAAGGTCTAATACTAAGCTAAAGAAGAGGTACCCAAAGAGAATTCATCTTAATTATGTTTAGACAATTTGAAATAGTTTAACAAATTTGATGGTTCATCGTCTTTATTTAACTTTAACAATTACAGGTTATATGTTAGTATAAAGCTTTCGAACATAAATTTTTATATAATTAACTAAAACATAAATGTAGTAAATAAATTGAAAGACTAACAACAAAATATCTCGAAGTAATTAAGGTCAAAGAAAGCATGCTACTTGTGTGGATATTCTCTTGTGATATTGAGTTGAAATGATCTTTTTTCTTTTCCAAATAAATTCACTAACAGAGGAGAGGAAGAATTCTCAAGCGAATTTACTCATAATCTCAACTTATCCCTTCAACTACTGGACCATGAGATCGAGAAGGAGGCTTTAGGAAAAAGCTGTATAGGGAATGAAAATGTTAAGGTTTCTTCTAACGAGTTTAAGACCAAAATTTGTTCAAGGAAACAAACAAGGTATATAAAAAATAGGAAGAAGAAAAAAAAAAAGAGATAATATATTGATAATCTGATATGATATTGAAAGCCCATGGATCGGTATAAAGGGCTTTTAGGATCAATAGGACTTTGGATTTTGAGCTCAAAATGAAAAGACATCAATCAATAATATAAAACTCAAAAGAATTTTTAATTTTGTACATAATGTTGTAGATCTTATATTAATAAAAAAATAAATAAATTTTGAGTTTATAAATAAAAATTTTCTCCACATTTGGATGGGGTAGAAAGCATTATACAATTGAGTATGATAAAAATAAAAATCTTTCTCTATCTATCAGGGGTAATTTTACAAAATCAATTGAAGCAACATACTATTATATATATTATGTCACTATTTTCTATCACATTTTTTTAACTTTCTGGTCCAGTTAGTTTGATTAAAATAATTTTGGATTATTACTAATAAATATGCATTTTGATTAGTAAATAATTCAAATTAAATGTGAGGAACCTTCCTCACCAAGATAAGAATTTCAACTAGGATTGCTTGTCAAGCTTTTCAAGTTGTATATATTTTTTTTCTTGTAGCATTTGCTCATGTAGGACAAAACTGACTTTTGAGGTGGAGTGCTGTACATAGCAGAAGAAGAGAGATTTGTCTTCATGGATTGCTTTAGTTGACCAACTGATTAATTAGTTTGAACTTACTCTACAGTTTATCTCCCCATATTTTCCGCCCACCGGATTAATTAAGGGTGGTGGGCATTGGTGGCTAAGAAGTCTAATTAAGATAAACAACTTAAGAAGAAACTATAACAAGGAAACAGCTGGGTAAGGGAGCAAGTAAATAATACTATATCACTTGCAAGTAGCTATTAGAGAAAGCTCCATAAGAATGAGTCAAGAACTTGGGAACCATGCTCTTCAGAAATTGTCTAGTAAGTGCCCAGCGGCCAACTGGCCAAGGCATGGAGCATCCTTCACCGACTTTCTATTTTAAACAGACATTGAAATTGGGAGTGGAACATATATCTAACTTCGAAAAGGTAACTGATTCTAGTATTTAATTTAAAATTAATTAATCTTTGTTTACTTGTTTAATCAATCTAAATGTGTAATAATTCAACTAACGAGATAAATATTAAAAAATATATATATATTAAAAAAATCAATACAATTTTTTTTTAAAAAAATCAAACAAATCTCGCATATTACGCACATATACACATATATCAATGTGGGCGATGACGCTATACTTAAAATGTTTTGTTTTTATTTTATATTGAATTAAATAAATATTTATTTTATGGAGACAAATATAAAATTTAATCTTTGTTTGAGGTTGTTAAATAATGGATTAGGTAGAACTAATCTTCTACATTATGCCTCAAAAGAGAAGGAGAGAAAATGATCTCATTCAATTTTAAGCACCGAGGATTTAGCTTCTTTGCAAACTTGTATATTTCTTGCAATCAATTAACCTTTTCTTTAGGTATCCTCCTAATTAAGGCAATCTCAAGATTTTTTTTACTAAAAATAGAAAAAAAGATAAAACTTAGTAAAGCTCCTTAATTAAAGATCAAGTTTTTAAGAGATTTTTTATTGAAAATAATTAAATAAAAATTAGATTAAAAAGTCAAAACCAATAAATTAATAAAGAATTTATTCATAATAACATGTAAATAATTAATTTAAAATAGCATCTATATATATACAAGTTAAATTTGACGGATACTTATTGATCGATGAAAACTTATTCAAAAATTATTCAAATTTTTTATATTTAATTTATGTGACAATATTGCCTTTCAATCTATGATTTGTATTTTTAAATATGAAATCTTAATAACGAACTTAATTAAAAAGTCTTCTCTAAGTTTTATCCAATAAAAATATATTAATACATTACTTAAAAGACAGCTATGCATGTTAGGTGAAGTGAAGCTCAAAGAATTATCTAGTTAGTATTATAACTATATATTGGATTATATAAAATTAGAAATACCATGCATAGTGCAAGAAGTTCAATTTTTCCAGCAAATTTAATAATCTTTTCTCTCCAAGTTGGTTTCTTTCCCATCGTGGGGCGCATTTGGTTATTTTTAATCTTGGTCAATAACGAAATTTTGGTAACTTGCATAAGCATATAAAGAAAAAGTCAAATCTCATGCATTATATAAGAACAATGCTAGTCCCTTGATGATCTTCGTCTTAGTTGTGCCCTTGACCAAATCATGGCTTCTCTCCTTCCACCATCCTCTACCGCCACCACTGGCACTTCCACCATCTCTGTTACCACTTCTTTTCTTCCAAGAACATCTCAACTTTGCATAGCTGGGAAGCGAAGGACAAACTTCGTCTCCCGAGCAGTGTCATGCAAAGCCACAAACGGTGACCAAAACCCCAGTCCTAACACTAAAAAGGTTGAGGAATCTTCTCTAAACAAGTTTGATAGGAGAGATGTTCTCATTGGCCTTGGAGGTCTGTACGGTGCAGCCAGCCTTAATGGCCCGTCTGCATTTGCGGCACCGGTTGGTCCTCCGGACTTCACCAAATGTGGCAAAGCAGACCTGCCTGCTGGCGCCAAACCCGTCAATTGTTGCCCACCACCTTCGACAAAAATCCTGGATTTTAAGCTCCCTCCTTCAAATTCCCCACCACGCATTAGGCCTGCAGCTCATTTAGTTGATAAAGAGTACTTAGCTAAATTTTCCAGGGCCCTTGAGCTCATGAAAGCTCTTCCTGAAGATGATCCACGTAGCTTCACACAACAAGCAAACGTTCACTGTGCCTACTGTGATGGGGCTTATCACCAAATTGGGTTTCCAGATCTTGATCTTCAAGTTCATAACTCATGGCTTTTCTTTCCATTCCATAGATATTATCTTTATTTCTTTGAGAAGATCTTGGGCAAGTTGATTGATGACCCAACTTTTGCAATGCCGTTTTGGAACTGGGATTCTCCTGCTGGCATGCAAATGCCTGCCATTTATGCAAACCCTAACTCTCCTCTCTATGATAAAAATCGCAATGTCAATCACCAACCACCTACACTCCTTGATCTTGATTTCAATGGCACCGAAGAATCGTCATCAACTAGGGACCAGATATCAAGCAATCTTAACGTCATGTACAGGCAAATGGTGTCCAACGGTAAGACCGCCAAGCTTTTCTTAGGAAATGCTTATCGTGCTGGCGATGAACCGGACCCTGGAGCTGGTTCACTTGAGAACATTCCTCACGGACCAATCCACATATGGTGCGGCGACACCAGACAACCAAACTTGGAAGACATGGGGAATTTCTATTCCGCTGGAAGAGACCCCATTTTCTATGCTCATCACTCGAATGTGGACCGGATGTGGTCGGTTTGGAAGACATTGGGAGGGAAGCGAACCGACTTCACTGACTCAGATTGGCTCGATTCCGGATTTCTTTTCTATGACGAGAATGCAAATCTCGTTCGTGTTAAGGTCAGTGATTGCCTTGACACTAGAAAGATGGGGTACGATTATCAAAAAGTTGACATTCCATGGTTAGGCACTAAACCAACTCCTAGAAGGATTGCCAGTAAAGTGGCAAGGGCTCTTGGTGTTGCTCATGCAGCAGAGACAAAGAAAAAGGTTCTAAGTGACGTTCGATTTCCTCTGGTTCTAAACAACGTAGTGAGCTTTGAGGTTGCAAGGCCAAAGAAATCAAGGAGCAAAAAAGAAAAAGAAGAAGAAGAGGAAGTGTTGGTGATAGAGAACATCGAGTTTGACAGAGACAAGTTGGTGAAATTCGATGTATACATTAACGACGAGGATGACACGACGATTGGACCCGACAACACAGAGTTTGCAGGGAGCTTCATCAACGTGCCACACAAACATAGGCATGGAAACAAAATGACAACATGTTTGAGGTTGGGGTTGACAGATTTGTTGGAGGACCTGGATGCTGAGGATGATGATGGCGTGGTGGTGACCTTGGTGCCCAAATCTGGCAAGGGTCTTGCTAAGATTGGTGGCGTCAAGATTGAGTTCGCCCGAGATTGATCAATTATAGCTTGATGTTTCCGCCAGGATTTGTCATGTTTTATTTGAAAGTGGAAATTGAACATTTGTTCCTGCTTCTTAGTTTGTTTGCACAATGGCTGTAGCCAAAAAAGGTTGGCGCTTCTTTTCTTGTGATTTGTCAGTGTAGAATTTAATAAGCGCACTTTTTTTCTTCTTTTATCTCCCTACTTTACTAAATTACTAAGGAAACTATACCTAAATTAATGATTTTTTAAAGTAACATACAACTAATTGAAAAACAAATATACTTTTGACTCAACCATTAGTATGTATATATCTTGTATTAAAAAAAATAAATTCAAATATATCTTTTCCAAATAAAAAAATTAAAATTGGGTAAAACCTTATTTAATTTAAGAGAGAAAACAAGTTTTTTTTTTAAAAAAATATTAGGATAAAAAACAAGTTAAGAAGTAGATAATGTTTATTCATAGTGATTTACAATTTACATATATATATATATATAGCTAATTAAAAAGAGAGGACCACAAGCCTTTAGCCACTTTTTATTATCGCTTCTATTGAATACTATATATATTAGTTTTATTCTAATTCAAGTTTTCTTTTATATATTATTCCAAATGTTCCACCATGCTATGAGACTTTGCATACCTAACCCTCAATTGTTTATTGAAGCAGCATGCATTTTCTTGAAGAAGCTGCCTGTTTGAAAATTGAAGTTCAAATTTCACTAATTCTTTCTTAACTTTCTTTTTAGAAAAAAGGGCATCACGTTAAGTTTTTCAATTGGAGCGAGGCAAATCCTTATATGTTCATAAAATCTCTCGTTTGTTCATGTTATAAGATCTGAAAAATAAGATCATACGATGATGGTCTTGTTGCTGAATTGGATCGCCATCTTTGCCACGATCATTATCTGTTAATTCACTGTATATATATATATATATATATATATATATATTAATTTGTTTCTTGGTGCAATGAACCTGGATCTCACGGTCAACTGTTGGAAAAAGGAGTATAGGAGGAAAATTAAATATATATGGAGAAAATGACTTTGCATTCTTGGAAGAAAGTCAATGTTAATTATCTTGAAATTGGTATCAGTCATATTATAAGTTATACAAGGTAGTAATATATATTTATTGGAATGCACGTCAGTTCTTCTTTCTCCAATTTTCTTCGCCAGAATTCATGTAAAAACTATCAAAGCGGGTACAGTTGAAGAAAGGATCATGTAAATTAAACTGGCTTACGGGCTATGGCTAGTTCTCCTATAACTTTGAAATCTTATTTGGTTAAGCAACATCCAATCCTTACCTAACTTTCTTTGGCTACCTACTGGTCGTTCAATGAATCAAAGAGGCGCATATCCTGATGTACTTAAGGCAAATTAATTACATATTATGTGTGATTGCCTTGGCATATGACACTCAAAACACCCAAAGCGACTCTCTGATTGGAAAGAAAGCTATAGAATCTTTCAATATTTAATCAATGAAATGAATAGAATTCATATCATGTACAAACTTAATTTTGACATTAATCTTAAATTAATTCTTAAGGATGAGTACAAAGTAAGAACATAGTCAGATATATGATGGTATATGCTTTTACCAATTGACGTGCGTGTGTGGAATACTTGGCATAGATGTAGAAGTTAGACCCAGAGCAAAATCTTCAAAACGAAGGAAAAGAAAGATTGAAATGGATGATCTGGGCATGAAGGACTGGGGCTATTAAGGGCCTAAATTGGGGGAAGCTGGAAATCAAGGTGTGTTGTGACTAGTTCTATCTATTCTAGCAATAAAGAAGTAGAACTTGAGAGGAGAGGGGGGGTGAAAAGAGCTCTTGGTCGGGTTTCTTAGCTTAATTATCCCTGAAATTAGACTTGCTAAATAACTAGTTCAACCCCTTTTTTCTCCTGCAATAAGTGTTGGGTATGTGGTCATCGTTTGTGACTTTGCGTGATACTACTTCAGTTTAATCGTTTGCAACAATTATGGACCTAAAGTAGTATCATGCAAAGCCACATACGAACGACTTTGATTGCGTAGGATTTAAGGGAAGGTCTTGGAAAGTCTTCTTTTGGGAAAGATTGGATCCCTTTTGATGCTTGCTTATTTGGAAAGCCAAGCCGAATGCTCATTCACTAGCCTAATTAACCAATTGAGCATTAGGGAATAAGAGTATACTTTGTACCATCTTATAAAGCATGTGGTCCCCAGAAGCCAAATCCTATCTTCTAAAAGCAATAATAATAATAATAAAAGAAGTAATGGTCCTTTTATATTAAAAAAAGAAAAGAAAAAGGAGGTGGTACTCTTCACCTGCTGATGTAGGCTTCACCTGCTGATATAGGGGTAAAATTGAATAACCCCAAGAGTATTAACACAGACTGCTCCTTGGCTGTAAGAGCATTGCCAACAATTTAGTTTAGTAGTAAAACTGCAAAACTGAACAAACATATACTAAGGTAAAGTAGGTCGGGATTGTTTCAAAATAAGAGAGACCAGAGCATAAGAACAACATTAGAAAGCCATCAAGCTATGCAAAGTAGCAAACATAAAAGCAAAGTTACAAGATAGGAAGGCAAAGAAGAGAGTGGTGAAATCCCAACTTGTGATCAAAGGATATGATCATCCAAATATTTATATTAGGTCCATAGGACATTGAATTCAATAAAGATCCTTCATGGGTAATACAATATAAGTACAGTGTGTACTACAAAATGTACTTTGCATATGGTTTCGTTACAAAAAGAAAGAGCTGTACTGCACATATATAAGGTTTTATATAAGAAAGAACTCGAATTAGTTGAGCTTTGTATCATTTTGATACTTCCCAACTTTTCTCCCCATCTCAACAAAGTATGGAGCAGGTCTTTAGTCCTTGGAACGGCCCAGAAGGGGCTAGGCTTTCAAGCCTAGTTGGGGAGTTTGGGTGCCTGGGCTCAAAATAGGGTCCAAGGTGTGGAACTCGTGGTTCAAGCCTAAAAGCCCCTAGTTTAAATCAGGTGAGTTTTTCTTCTTCTGCAGTAGGCTGTTGCCTTGCCCTTTCAACCCTTTGAACTTATATTATTTAATGGATCACTCAAATTTTATAAATATTAAATTAAAATTTTGAATTCTTAATTAAATCTATATCTGAATATCATAAACACTACTTGTATAATACCTTATTAAAATAAATTTAAATTTATTTTTATATATTATTAATAAAATTAAATTAATAAATTAAAATTAGTTAATAAAAATTAAAATTTAAAATCATATTTAGAATAATTAATAAATTTTAGTAAATATTACGTTAATTATAAAAAATTTATAGATAAAAATTAATATAGATAACTAAAATTTAATATTAAAACTCATTATTTATAACCCATATGGTAAAAAATCATTATTCAAACCCTACTCAAACTCATGATGGATAGTAATCTTACTATCTGAACTGTACAAGAATTTGAGTATAAAGTATTTTAATTTTATTTAATTTAATTCGAGAATACAAATAACTGATTATAAAGTACCTATTGAAATCTTTTTCAAACGCATTTCTTTTTTTTTTAATTTTACATGAAATTTAAGTCTCAAGGACTAAGGTTAGGTAAGTGTCTAAATTTGAAACGTGGGCGGGGAAAGTAATTTTCAATGTACAGAGCTTTTATTTTGGCAACTAACTCTGGAGCTAACCCATTGATTGCTACCCGTTAATATTGCTCAGGCCGCACATATTACTTTGATATTTGTTTTCGGCTATTAATGCTCGATAAATCAATGTATTTGCTCAAAGGATAAAATCAAAGCAAACATTCTCTTAGGAGCCAGGAGGGGAATGTTATTTATTTATTTATATATATATATTGATTTGTTAATCTATTTGTTAATTGATTTTCTTCTTTCTTGAAAGACTTGTTTGCTTGTTTATAATATAATATTCTAACTTACACATATATTTTTCTTTTTGTTATCATTTACTTTTAAATACACATTTACCAGTATTAAATTAAAATTTAAAGTCATATTTTTAGAATAATTAATAAATTTTAATGAATAATACATTAATTATAAAAAATTTGTAAATAAAAATTAATATATATAATTAAAATTTAATATTAAAACTCATTATTTATAATTAAATTCAAGTAGTGGGTATGTTAAAATCATTATTCAAATTTTTCTCGAATCCGTGATAGGTAACAGTTTTCCTATTTACATGAATTCAAAAATAAGATATTTTAACTTTATTTAATTAGATCAAGGAAAACAAATAATTGATTATAAAATATCCATTGAAATCTATTACGAAATGTGTTTTTTTTTTCTTCTTTTTAGATGAAATTTAATTCTCAAGGACTACGGTGGGTAAGTCTGTAAATTTAAGCGACGGCAGCGACACTAAATTTCAACGTCGAGGGCCATTATTTTGGAAACCAACCCTGTAATCACCCCACTGATTGCTACCCATTAATATTGCGCAGGCCGTACATGTTTCTTGATGATTTTATTGTGTGGTAATGGTAGGAGGCAGGAGGGGAATGTTATACACATAGATAGATATATATATATATATATATATATATATATATTGATATGTTGATCTATTTGTTAATTGATTTTCTTCTTCTTTAAAGACTTGTTTATTTGCTTGTTTATAAAATAAAATATTTACCTATACATACATTTTCTTTTTGGTTGTCATTTACTTTTAAATACACATTTACCATTATTATTAGTTTGTGTAAATCTGAATACATTATCACTCAACTAAATTCTAGGTTTCATATTTACCAGTTTATGTTTTTTCTTTTGTGCAATTTTATCGTTTTATTGTAATTTTCTTATACAATTGTAATCAGCTATGAAGGAAGATAGAATATTCCATCAAGTAATTCATCGTGTTTAATAGGGTTTTTCACTTACGAATGCAATTGGCATCCTTTCTTTGTAACTTTTTAAGATAAATAATGCATTAATGCTTTGATCACTTAATTTTTCAAAATGTTTGGTTTTAATCGATCAACTTAAAAATAATAATTTTTTAGTATTAATGTAATAAAACTTATTATTTTAATCACTCAATTATTACAAGTAATAATTGTCTGTTTGACATGACATTTCACGTCAATTGATCTTATCTTATCTACAACGTCTATACAGCTCATCTGGCATGAAACCAAAATCCACCAATGTCCATTGATGTGAAAGGCACACTCGTTTCAAATGGGAAAGTGTACAATTGTGACCTATCGGGTTCCAAAGTTGGAAACTTGTAAACAGGTAATCCATGGAAAGGGCACCACGTAGCGACGACAGCACAAAATCCGCCACAAAACGGACCACCAACCTGTTGTCTACTGTCCAGTGTGACCTTCAACATGCACCATTCCAGAACAGGACATTAAATGCCAGCAACGTAAAGATATTGAGGCTCAACAGTCTAACTTAGCACTACACAACACATATTAGACAGAGCGACAAAAGTTTTTATTTTTATAAATATTAAGTAACCAAATGAGTACTATACTTATGTCTTGATGACTTCTCGTAACTCCTATTACTTAATTTGTAGCTGGTAATTTATTGGAACATTGTTTTCCTCCTTTAAGAATCTTTTCTGGGTTTAAAAGTCGATCATTTCCATGTGAAAATTTTAAGTTATTTTGTTATGGGCAACATTGTTTTACCAATAAATAGCTGAAAATAGATTTGGGTTTCTGCATGTTTTGAGGATGATTGAGTATTGAGAGAGGAAAAGAGAAAGACCTTTCATTTGGTAAGTTTGAAGGCACATGAGCCTTGGTTGAATCATCTTTAATAATATGGAAAGAGTACTGTATATAAATGTGCCTCAGCCGGAAAACTGTGATTGGATCCCACTTTATCCTGATTCTTTATCAAAATTTTAAAAAAAGCTATCCAAATGTTCCAGAGAGAATAACTTTTGCCATTTTGACAAGGACAGCCGGTGGCCCTGCTTCGTCAACTTAATCCGTCAAGTGATCGAGAAAATAAGTGCACATTAATAATGACGAAGGATCCAAACCCCATTGAATTCACTATAAATGCCATGCCAAAGTGTTTTCATATTCATCGAAGCTGTAGTACCACTAGAATGCAGCTATGGCTTTTTCAGTCCTTTCGTCGGCAAACCCCATCATTATCCCCAGCTTTTCCATTCAAACTTCCTTCTTTCCAAAAACATCTCAACTTTCCTTAAATAAGAAGATCAAAAGGCCTCACTACACCGTCCCTAATAAAGTAGTGTCATGCAAAGCCACGAATAATGGGAACCAAAACCCTACTCCTAGTTCCAGAAAAACGAATGAGACTACCTATTACTACTCACCAACAGCGACAAAGATCATAGATTTCAAACCACCTCCATTTTCCAAGCTACGTTATAGACGTCCTGCACATTTAGTTGATGCTGACTACTTAGCTGAATTTGCCAAGGCCGTGAATCTCATGAAAGATCTTCCTCCTGATGATCCACGTAGTTTCATGCAACAAGCAAATGTTCATTGTGCCTATCGCAACGGAGCTTATGATCAAGTAGGTTTCCCCGATCAAGATCTTCAAATCCATTTCTCATCGCTCTTTTTGCCATTCCATAGGATGTATCTTTATTTCTATGAAAGGATTTTGGGCAAGTTGATTGGTGACCCAGATTTCGTCATGCCATTTTGGAACTGGGATGCCCCTGCAGGCATGACTATGCCTGCCATATATGTAAACCCTCAGTCTCCACTCTACCATGACAAGCACAATGTTAGCCATCAGCCACCAAAACTGGTTGATCTTGAGTACAATGGCACTGGTAAAGAGATAACAGACGAAGAGCTAGTACTAAGAAATCTCAAGGTCATGCACAGGCAAATGGTGTCTGGTGCAAAGACCGCTTCTCTTTTCCATGGAAAGGTGTACCGTGCTGGTGATAAACCCAGTCCAGGGCCAGGTTCCATCGAGGCTGGTTGTCATACAGCGATTCACATGTGGGTTGGAGACCCTAGAGAAGAATATGAGGAAGACATCGGAAATTTCTATTCCTCAGGCAGAGATATGTTGTTCTACGCTCATCACGGCAATGTTGACCGACTGTGGTCGATTTGGGACAAAGTACAAGGAACGATGGGAGAACATATGGATGACATAAATTATCTTAATGCTGCGTTTTATTTTTACGATGAGAATGCGAATCTTGTTCGTGTTAAGGTTAGTGATTGCCTTGACACTAAAACTTTGGGATACGATTATGAACCAGTTGAAATTCCATGGCTTAGAACTAAGCCAGTTCCTCGAAAGCTTGGCAAAAAAGGAGGAAAGGGTCATGGTCATGCAATGGCAGCAGAAATAAAGAACAAAAACATTATACGCAATGTATTCCCGATATTTTTAGACAAAACAGTGAGCACTGAGATTCCAAGGCCAAAAAAATCGAGGAGTAAACGTGAAAAAGAAGAAGAAGAAGAAGAAGTGTTGGTGCTAGAAAGCATTCAGTTAGAGCGAGATGCTTCAGTGAAATTTGATGTGTACATTAACGATGAGGATGACGAGGCACCTAGTGGACCAGAAGATGCAGAGTTTGCAGGGAGCTTCACCAATATTCCTCATAACCATAAGCACGGCAAGAAGTTGGAGACATGTTTTTCTTTGGCAATATCAGATTTGCTAGAGGATTTGGATGTTGAAGATGATGATAATATTGTGGTGACTTTGGTGCCTCGAAGAGGTAAGGGTCTTGCTACGGTCGGCAACATCAAGATTGACTATATCCGAGAATGATCAGTTTCTGGCTTCTTTCCTTGCTTCCCTATCTACGTACTTCAGGGAAAATTTTCCTTTGATCCTTGCGTTCTTCAGATCGATCCAATCGATCACTTGTTCCCTTGTTTTTTATGTTAATATGTCTCTAAGTATACATAATGCCATTAAGTCTACGACCATAGAACCTTATATGGCACGTTCTCAGTAAGGAGACCTGTTTGGATTTTATGTTCGACCTTGTCATCATGCATGTATTTTATGAATGTTTTTAAAAAATTTGAGTAGTTTTTTCAATTATTATTTGAACATGTATCTAGATACTGCTCGTTAAATTCTTATACTCATTAAATAATTAATTAAATTTTATTGAAAACTAATTTTTACACATTTTATTATTGAAAACAAAATTATTAAACTAAAGTTAAAACATAATTATTAAAATAAAATGAAGGTTTAAAATCATAATTAGAACAATTAATGAATTTTAGTAAGTAATACATTAATTATAAATAATTTATAAATAAAAATAATATACATAAAACTAAAATTTAATATTAAAAATCATTATTTATAATCAAATTTGAATAATAGTTCTTAAGATCACTATTTGAACCTTGCTCTTACCCCTTAATAGTAGTTTTATTCTCCAAATCTTATCAGAACTCAATTATAAAATATTTTAATTTTAATTATTTAATCTAATCGAGTAACGTAATGTATCCGATTATAAAGTAATCGTTGATGTCCCTACAATCAAGATTATAAGAAAAGAAGGCAAGAAAGAGATTGTTGGAATCTTAAGTTGTGATCAATGGATATCATCCTAATATTTATATATTAGGTGCATGAAACATAGAATTCTATATAGATCCTTCATGGTTATTACAAGTACAAAGTGTACCACAAAATGTACATCGCATATAGTTTTATTTCAAAAAGAAAGAGCTGTACTGCACATAAGGGTTTATTTAAGAGAGGCCTAAAACTAATTGAGCTTATATCATTGTGAAGCTTGCCAACTTTTCACCCCTTATGAAGAAAGCATGGAGCAGGTTTTCTGCCCATATAGATAGGCCGGGAATGGTCTAGGCTTTCAAGTCTAGTTGGGGAGTTTGGGTCTATGGGCTCAAAATGTGGTCCAAGGTCAAAAGCCGTGAGTTTCTTCTCCTGCAATGGTTTTTTTTTATAAAAAAACCGAACATTTCTATGTGAAAATTTTAAGTTAATTTCTTTTTTTTTTTTTGTTACTGGCAATCTCGTATTACCAATAAATTGTGGAAAAGTGATCTGGGTTTTTGCATATTTAGAAGATGATTGAGTATTGAAAGAGGAAAAACAAAACACCTTTCTTTTTCAGTGCAGAAATAAGGGAAGCTGAGTAGCTGACTCACATACTTACAAAGATAAAATTGCCATGACATGACAGAAAAATAAAATTAAGTAAAATAGAAAGTTTGATCCTTTTTCTTTAGTGTAATTTGATTATAAATTATGGACGGATCACATTTAAACACGTTTATGATTGGAAATTTGGAATCCAACTAAAATGATTGGAGTCCAACTCATTTTTGCACCACTAGGACCAATAAATGAAAATGCGTGATCAACCTGCCCTTTTCTCCTTCTTTAATTACTTTGATGAATGTGAAAGGAACATTTCATTTGCTTTGAATCGAGCGGTTGAGAACAAAACTTTTTCTGGACAATAGCTGATCATTACCATGATTGTGGGGCCCAAATATCATGTCATGACTTATATTACTGAGCAGGCCACTCACCTACCCCTCCCATTTCGCTAAGGATATATATATAAAACTAACTGAGCCCCGAATCCGAATCAAATATCAAAGGCCCTTTTTTTTTTATACGTGGTCTGTCCGTGTGCCACGTCATCAAATGGGACGCCATTTTTCGCGTTTGAGAGTGGAGACATATCACGGCCTCTACGTTCAATGAATCGTATCAGTACTCTTTCAGTTTCATTTTCAAGAAAATAATGTTTGATAGTAAAAATAATATTGATTAAATTAATTATTGCTATTAAGTACATTAGGATTTTTACTGTTTAATATATCAGTTTCTTAATTGGTGAGACCTTTATTGTTTTATGTAGACAAGAAAGGGATAGAGTTCTAAGCCATAATCCGACTTTTAATAAGATTTATGATTTTTTCGCAAGCTTACACTTTAAGTCCAAATTTAATAAGTCAAACTCAATTTATTAGATTAAATTATGAAATATATAAACTTTGTTTATTTATTTAATTAAAAATAAAATATAATGTTTAAAAAAACTTTTAAATTATTTAAAAAAATTTAAATAAGTTTTTAATTTTTTATTTTATTTAATTAAATCATTCTTATATTTTTATTTTAAATTAAATAAAATTTTATAATTAATAATAATTAATTATTATTAATTAAAAATATTTATTATAATTTTATATTTATTTGATATTAATGTGTTATTAATGTAAAAAGTAAAAAAAATTATATTATTATATTATTATATCAAATTAACATATCATATATTTGAATATGTCATATTAATATCATATTAATATCATATAATATAAAATGATAGGTGATATTATGAATAATTTAATTATTAATTATAAAATTTATTTAATTTAAAATAAAAATATAAATATTTTATTAAATATAATAAAAATATATAAAATATTCAATCGTGCAGGTAAGTTGGTCCAGATTCCTTTTAAGAGCATGACATGTGAAATGGCTGGAAAAGATATCAGTTTTCCTATTATTAAAAGATAACATCTACAACAGGGACGAATCCCAATAATAATTTCTTTTGGCATTTTAGAAAGGACAAATAATCTTTTACCGTGGCTTTGTTTTTGTCAAATTTAATCAATCAAGTGGCTAAGAAAATAAATGCACATTAATAATGACCAAACCCCATTGAATTCTCTATAAAGTCCATGGGAAAGTGCCTTCACCTGCATCGGGACTGTAGTAACACCCAAATCTAGCCATGGCTTCTCCTGTCCTCCCATTTTCAACCCAAACCACCATCTCCAATCCCTCCATTGAAACTTCCTTCTTTCCGAAAACATCTCAATATTCCTTGAATAAGAAGATCACAAAGCCTGACTGCTCTAACCCAAACAGACTAGTGTCCTGCAAAGCCACCAACGATGGGAACAAAGGAGACTCTTCTCCCAACAGGTTTGATAGAAGGGATCTCCTAATTGGGTTAGGAGGTCTCTACGGTGCAACCAACCTTTCCAATGATCCATTTGCATTAGCAGCTCCTATTGCCGCTCCTGATCTAACCCTTGGCGGTGATGCAATACTTTCTTATAAAACGAATAGGACTAAAGATCGAAAGTTTGCCAAGAAAGGCGGAAGGGGTCATGGTCATGCTATGGCGGCCGAGACAAAGAACAAAAACGTTATACGCAGCGTCTTCCCGATTGTTTTAGACAAAATAGTGACGATTGAGATTCCAAGGCCAAAGAAATCAAGGAGCAAGCTTGAGAAAGATGAAGAAGAAGAAGTATTGAAGCTAGAAAACATTCAATTAGACACAGATACTCCGGTGAAATTTGATATTTACATTAACGACGAGGATGATGAGGCACCTAGTGGACCAGAAAATTCAGAGTTTGCAGGGAGCTTTACCAATCTGCCCCATAACCATAAGCATGCGAAGAAGTTGGATACAAGTTTTTCTTTGGCAATATCAGATTTGTTGGAGGATTTGGATGTTGAAGGTGATGATAACATCGTGGTGACTTTAGTGCCTAGAGAAGGGAAGGGTCGTGTTTCGGTCGGCAACATCAAGATTGACTATATCCGAGAATGATCGGTTCGTTGCTTCCTTATCTACATTAGGGAAATGTTTTCCTTGATCCTTAGTGCTTCTTGAGATCGATCCGATCGGTCACCTGTTCTCTTGTTTTGTTTTTGTGAAAGGATTCTGGGCAAGTTGATTGGTGATCCAGACTTCGCCATGCCATTTTGGAATTGGGATGCCCTTACGGGCATGCCTAAACCTGCCATATATGTAAACCCTTGAGTCTCCACTCTACAATGACAAGCGTAATGCTAGCCATCGGCCACCATCTTGATTACAGTGGCACTGTAATAAAGAGATAACAGATAAAGAGCAAGAAATAGTTAATCTCAAGGCCATGTACAGACAGATTGACCGTATTCTAGAGAGATCAGTTTGTTTCTTCTTTCCTTGCTTCCGTATCTACTTTAGGGAAATGTTTTCCTTTGACCCTTGTGTTCTTCAGATCGATCTAATCGATCACTTGTTCCCTTGTTTTATATATCAATATGTTTCCATGTATAAATAATGCCATTAAGTCTACGACCATAGAACCTTATATGGCATGTTCTCAATAAGGAGACTTGTTTAGATTTTATGTTTGGCCTTGTCATCCACGTATTTTGTTTCAATTATAACTTGAACCCGTACTTAAGACACCACTCGGTACATTCTTATACTTAGTAAATAACCAATTAAAATTGATTGAAAATCAATTTTTATACATTTTATTGATGACAACTAAATTAATAAATTAAAGTTAAAACATAAAAAGGAAATCAAAATTTAAAATCATAATTGGAACAATTAGTGAATTTTAGTAAGTAATAGATTAATTGTAAAGAATCTATAAATAAAAATATATATAACTAAAATTTAATATTAAAAATATTAATTATAATCAAATTCGAATAGTAGTTTTTAAGATCACTATATGAACCTTACTTGTACTGATGAATAATAATTTTATTATTCAAATTTTATCTGAATTTTATTATAAAATATTTTAATTTTAATTATTTAATCTAATCAAGTAATATAATGTATCCGATTATAAAGTAAAAATTGATGTAAGAAGGCAAGAAAGAGATTGTTGGAATCTTAAGTTGTGAGTAATGGATATCATCCTAATATTTATATGCATGAAACATAGAATTCTATATAGATCCTTCATGGTTATTAGAAGTACAAGGTGTACTACAAAATGTACTCTGCATATAGTTTTCTCACAAAAAGAAAAAGCTGTACTACACATAAGGGTTTATATAAGAAATGCCTCAAACTAATTGAGCCTATATCATTTTGAAAGCTTGTCAACTTTTCACTGTATCTCAAGAAATTATGCAGCAGGTTTTCTGTCCATAGATAGGCCCAGAATGGGCTAGGCTTTCAAGCCTGGTTGGAGAGTTTAGTCCATTGGCTCAAAATGGGGTCCAAGGTCTGGAGCTGGTGGTCCAAGCTGAAAAGCCCCTAGCTTTCAACAGGTGAGCTTCTTTTTCTACAATAGTATGCTGGCTAGTCCTTTGAACACTTTTGATCTAAGTTAGTGTTTTGTACAAAAAAGTAAAGTATATTTTTTGTAATATATTTAATTAAATTAAATTATAATATTTATTTTAAAATAAATCATTACAATATGAAATTATAGTATAATTAAGTTAAAAGTTAAGATGTAATGCAATCCTAGCTTAAAATCAAATCAATCACATTATATTATACTTTATAATATTTAAAAATATTTTTATTTTTATTTTATTATTTTATTAAAAATATTTTATAATGTTATAATTAAAATAAAAAATAAAAATAAAATATATAATATAAAAATTAATAATAAAATAAATATAAGAAATTTAAAATTTATGTAATATAGGTGAAAAAAATTAAAATAAAATATATAATATAAAAATTATATTAAAAAATATAAAATATAAAATTATAATAAAAATTAAAAATAAAGTATATGATATTAAAAATATATTTAAATGATGATATTATATAAAAATTAATAATAAACAAATTTAAATATATTAAATTTATATTTTAATAAATATATATAATTTTAAAAATTAATATTACATTTTTAATAAAATATTTATAAACTAAATACTATAATATTAATTTTATATATTATTTTATTTATATATCAAACATATAATATTACTTTTTCTATAATGAATTATAAAATATCAAATGTAACCTAAATAGAAAATTTACATGCACGAAGTACTCAAGTCCTTTTGTTCGCCTTTTGGATGAAATTCAAAGCCTCAATGACCAATGTTAGGTAAGTGTGTAAATTTAAGTGTGGGCCCAAGTCCTTTTGTTGGCCTTTTGGATGAAATTCAAAGCCTCAACGGCTAAGGTTAGGTAAGCGCGTAAATTTAAGTGTCGGCAGCTACAGCAATTTCAATGTATGGAGCCTTTATTTCGGCGACAAACTATGGAACTTCAACCACCCCTTTGATTGCTACCCATTACTATTTGCTCAGGCTGTAGTCGCCTATGAATGAAGATAGGACATTTCAATGGATAATTCACCCTTTATTATTATTTTTAAGATAAACTACATATTTTGCTACTTAAATTTTCGAAAATTTTTATTTTGATCACTTAATTTTATAAAATTACGTTTTAGTTACTAATATTTATAAAATTATTTGTTTTATCACTCAATCGCTATAAGTTTTTTTTTTGGGTCAATAGGAATGCAAGGCAATAATTGAAATATAGATTTACGGATCTTTCTGTTGCAGTCTCAACCACCACAATCCAGTACAATTTTAAAGAAAATGAGTCTCGATATTGTAAAATTATCGTGTTTGAATATTTAATTTATTAATTGGTATATTATTTTTTTATTTAAAAAATAAAATTCAAATTTTTTTTCTCTTAATTAAAACAAAACACTGTCGAAACCATCATAAAAATAATTTTATTCCTAGGAACCATGACTTTTTCACATCAACTACTTTGATCATATGATATGTTCATACCTAACTCATCTGTTACGTAATGAAAATCAACTAAAAAAAGTTATCAGAGAATCGTTAGTTTTTACTATTTTAATGATTAAAATATTAACTTTTACATACTATTAATGATTAAAACATAGCTTTTCGAACTTTAGTGATCAATGCATGAATAATTTAATATTTTTTTAATAATTTCTCTCATAATTTTTATCTGTTAATTTTGTATTTTGTAATTTCTCAATACATTGTTTCTTTCCTTTAAGAAACTTTTCCAGGTTTAAAAGCCAATCATTTATATGTGAAAATCTTAAGTTAATTTTTTATTTTGTTGCGGGCAATCTTGATTTACCAATAAATTGTGGAAAAATGATGTGAGTTCTTGCATGTCCAGAGGATGATTGAGTATTTGAGAGAGAAAAAAAGAAACACCTTTCTTTTTCAGTGCAGAAAATAGGCTAGCTGACTCACAGACTGTCAAAGTTCAAGTTGCTATGACATGACAGACAAAAAATAAAAAAAGTAAGTAAAATAGTGAGTTTGATCCTTTTCCTTAGGTGTAATTTGATTATAAATTATGGACTGATCACATTCAAACACGTTTATGATTGGAATTTTGAATCCAACTAAAATGATTGGAGTCCAACTCATTTTCGCATCATTAGGAATAATAAAAGGACATGCATGATCAACGTGGGAGGAAAGTGTTTTCCCTTTTCTCCTCCTTTAATTATTTTGATGAATGTGAAAGGAACATTTCATTTGCTGTTGGGGACAAAACTTCTACTGGACAATAGCTGATCTTTCATGTTCATCGAAATTAATTTTGAGATCTAGTACTATTGGTAAATAGCATTTACCTTTACATTTCAATCAAGCAAGTTTGGTTCTCAAAGAAAATAATAAAGTAATCTAGCTTTGGGTTGAGTTACATTGATTACATTCATCCCCACTGGAAACCTAGTTCTCTGTATGGTGTGGCATAGGTACTGGCCATGGTAGCCAAAGTATCCAAGAAAATATCATGTAACTATAACTAATGGAGGGCCAATGGGCAAATCACTCTTCATTTGATTGACGTAGGACGCGGGGAACCATATGTGAGGGAGGATTCAAAGTCTGTAATAATAGCATGCAGAGGGTCCAGCTCTGAGTTGTCGTGTCGTTTTCTCCTTAAAAATTCCTACCTAACTCAGTAGGAAAAAAAAAATTTAATTAGCTACATGTGCTTGCCTAGTGTAGTAGTAGAGGAATCTAATCCATTTCGATGTCGACAAAAAGAGAAACGATTGCACAAATTTTGTACTGATCTTCACCATCTGCAGGTCCATGCAGATATCTGCCACACCCATGCCGGGAGAGACATTAACGGCGAAGAAGATAAAATTAATTAAGCAGAAGATGCCGAAAAGCAGCCCACCCCAGCTGGATTTGAAACAGGTAGTGGCATTTTTATTATTAATGTGACCAGTCCAATCACATGGTAAACTTATTAAAATATAATAGTTTCCATATAAAAACTTATTAAAATATATGTTTTTTGCAGAATCACATGGTAAATTTTAAAATAAGATAATACTTCCAATAGAGGAATATATTGTATATATATCTATATCAAGACAGCTTAGCCATATCGATTTTCTAAGGATTTAGTCTTTGAAAATGCCACTAGTATGAACCGACAGTGCTATCATATTATTTTGAAAATCTGCACCTACACGTTTATATATATATATATATATATATTTATATAGAATAAAGGCACATGGTTTGTTCTAGAAATCAATGAGATTGATCCGTTTGAATAGTAGGAAAAATTTTTCCCGAGAAAGTTTTTCAATATTTTTTCATATTTAAAAAGAAAAAAATTAAAAAATGAATACAAAAAATTTTTGAGTTTGAAAAATTATCTTTTTTTTTAAAGATAATATCTAAAAACAAAACCTTCACGTTTTCCTTCTGTTCTTCCTCGATCTTCAAGTAAAATAGTTTTCACAGAAATTTTTTTTTGGTAAGTTAATTTCTGATTTAGAAACGAAACAGAAGAAGAGAAACAACATTGGAACTCAAGGAGTATGCAAGTAAAAAATTAGTTAGGCTTTGTAGTCAAAATAGGCAGCCGAAATTAGTACTTTAATACATCCTAAAACTTATAAATGATCATTATGTGAATACATAATGATGTTAATACGAGTGTGCTACGTATCTAACTAAATAATTAAATGCAGCAAATTAGGGTAGTTATAAAGTAAATTCAACTAAAAAAAGAAAGACTAAATAGTAAAATTTTCATTTCAAAAATAAATGGTACATATTTGGTTTGAGTCTCACCATGGTCATTAATATTTAACTAAATAATAAGTTTTTCATCCTAAATTTAATAGAAATGTACTGCAACAACAATTAAACGTAGCGAATTAAGGTATTTGCACAGTGAATTCGACCAACAAAAAATCAAATAAATAGTAAGTTTTACATTTCAAATCTTTGCCATGATTTGTTTATGGTGACGTCCCTGCACTTGTGGGGTCGAAATATCATGTTATGACTTAAATAACTGAGCTGGCAACTCACCTACCCCTCCCGTTTCGAGAAGGAAATAAATAAATAAATATATAAAGTAAAT